ACTTATTTAATAATCTGAACCCTTTGATAAAAAATTTAAATTTTCAAAAATTATGAAAAATTCGAAAAACCGAATTTTTTAAAATTCAACACTTTTTCTTCTCTTTTATGGCATTTAGCTTCATTATTTTTGTGCTCTTTAAAAATACTTTACTTATTTAATAATCTGAACCCTTTGATAAAAAATTTAAATTTTCAAAAATTATGAAAAATTCGAAAAACCGAATTTTTTAAAATTCAACATTTTTTCTTCTATTTTATGGCATTTAGCTTCACTATTTTTGTGCTCTTCAAAAACACTTTACTTATTAAATAATCTCAACCCTTTAGTTAAAAATTTTAAATTTTCAAAAATTATGAAAAATTCAAAAACCCGAATTTTTTAAAATTCAACACTTTTTCTTCTTTTTTATGGCAAATAGCTTCATTATTTTTGTGCTCTTTAAAAATACTTTACTTATTTAATAATCTGAACCCTTTGATAAAAAATTTAAATTTTCAAAAATTATGAAAAATTCGAAAAACCGAATTTTTTAAAATTCAACACTTTTTCTTCTATTTTATGGCAAATAGCTTCACTATTTTTGTGCTCTTCAAAAACACTTTACTTATTTAATAATCTGAACCCTTTGATAAAAAATTTAAATTTTCAAAAATTATGAAAAATTCGAAAAAACGAATTTTTTAAAATTCAACACTTTTTCTTCTATTTTATGGCATTTAGCTTCACTATTTTTGTGCTCTTCAAAAACACTTCACTTATTTAATAATCTGAACCCTTTGATAAAAAATTTAAATTTTCAAAAATTATGAAAAATTCGAAAAACCGAATTTTTTAAAATTCAACACTTTTTCTTCTCTTTTATGGCATTTAGCTTCATTATTTTTGTGCTCTTTAAAAATACTTTACTTATTTAATAATCTGAACCCTTTGATAAAAAATTTAAATTTTCAAAAATTATGAAAAATTCGAAAAAACGAATTTTTTAAAATTCAACACTTTTTCTTCTCTTTTATGGCATTTAGCTTCATTATTTTTGTGCTCTTTAAAAATACTTTACTTATTTAATAATCTGAACCCTTTGATAAAAAATTTAAATTTTCAAAAATTATGAAAAATTCGAAAAACCGAATTTTTTAAAATTCAACATTTTTTCTTCTATTTTATGGCATTTAGCTTCACTATTTTTGTGCTCTTCAAAAACACTTTACTTATTAAATAATCTCAACCCTTTAGTTAAAAATTTTAAATTTTCAAAAATTATGAAAAATTCAAAAACCCGAATTTTTTAAAATTCAACACTTTTTCTTTTATTTTATGGCAAATAGCTTCATTATTTTTGTGCTCTTTAAAAATACTTTACTTATTTAATAATCTGAACCCTTTGATAAAAAATTTAAATTTTCAAAAATTATGAAAAATTCGAAAAACCGAATTTTTTAAAATTCAACACTTTTTCTTCTATTTTATGGCAAATAGCTTCACTATTTTTGTGCTCTTCAAAAACACTTTACTTATTTAATAATCTGAACCCTTTGATAAAAAATTAAAATTTTCAAAAATTATGAAAAATTCGAAAAACCGAATTTTTTAAAATTCAACACTTTTTCTTCTATTTTATGGCAAATAGCTTCACTATTTTTGTGCTCTTCAAAAACACTTTACTTATTAAATAATCTCAACCCTTTAGTTAAAAATTTTAAATTTTCAAAAATTATGAAAAATTCAAAAACCCGAATTTTTTAAAATTCAACACTTTTTCTTCTATTTTATGGCATTTAGCTTCACTATTTTAGTGCTCTTCAAAAACACTTTACTTATTTAATAGTCTCCACCCTTTAGTTAAAAATTTTTAATTTTCAAAAATTCGAAAAATTCGAAAAACCAAATTTCTTAAAATTCAACACTTTTTCTTCTCTTTTATGGCATTTAGCTTCATTATTTTTGTGCTCTTTAAAACTACTTTACTTATTAAATAATGTCAACCCTTTGGTTAAAAATTTTAAATTTTCAAAAATTATGAAAAATTCGAAAAACCGAATTTTTTAAAATTTAACACTTTTTCTTCTATTTTATGGCAAATAGCTTCATTATTTTTGTGCTCTTTAAAACTACTTTACTTATTAAATAATCTCAACCCTTTGGTTAAAAATTTTAAATTTTCAAAAATTATGAAAAATTCGAAAAACCGAATTTTTTAAAATTTAACACTTTTTCTTCTATTTTATGGCAAATAGCTTCACTATTTTTGTGCTCTTCAAAAACACTTTACTTATTTAATAGTCTCCACCCTTTAGTTAAAAATTTTTAATTTTCAATAATTCGAAAAATTCGAAAAACCAAATTTCTTAAAATTCAACACTTTTTCTTCTCCTCTATGGCATTTAGCTTCACTATTTTTGTGCTCTTCAAAAATACTTTACTTATTTAATAATCTGAACCCTTTGATAAAAAATTTAAATTTTCAAAAATTATGAAAAATTCGAAAAACCGAATTTTTTAAAATTCAACACTTTTTCTTCTATTTTATGGCAAATAGCTTCACTATTTTTGTGCTCTTCAAAAACACTTTACTTATTTAATAATCTGAACCCTTTGATAAAAAATTAAAATTTTCAAAAATTATGAAAAATTCGAAAAAACGAATTTTTTAAAATTCAACACTTTTTCTTCTATTTTATGGCATTTAGCTTCACTATTTTTGTGCTCTTCAAAAACACTTCACTTATTTAATAATCTGAACCCTTTGATAAAAAATTTAAATTTTCAAAAATTATGAAAAATTCGAAAAACCGAATTTTTTAAAATTCAACACTTTTTCTTCTCTTTTATGGCATTTAGCTTCATTATTTTTGTGCTCTTTAAAATACTTTACTTATTTAATAATCTGAACCCTTTGATAAAAAATTTAAATTTTCAAAAATTATGAAAAATTCGAAAAAACGAATTTTTTAAAATTCAACACTTTTTCTTCTCTTTTATGGCATTTAGCTTCATTATTTTTGTGCTCTTTAAAAATACTTTACTTATTTAATAATCTGAACCCTTTGATAAAAAATTTAAATTTTCAAAAATTATGAAAAATTCGAAAAACCGAATTTTTTAAAATTCAACATTTTTTCTTCTATTTTATGGCATTTAGCTTCACTATTTTTGTGCTCTTCAAAAACACTTTACTTATTAAATAATCTCAACCCTTTAGTTAAAAATTTTAAATTTTCAAAAATTATGAAAAATTCAAAAACCCGAATTTTTTAAAATTCAACACTTTTTCTTCTATTTTATGGCAAATAGCTTCATTATTTTTGTGCTCTTTAAAAATACTTTACTTATTTAATAATCTGAACCCTTTGATAAAAAATTTAAATTTTCAAAAATTATGAAAAATTCGAAAAACCGAATTTTTTAAAATTCAACACTTTTTCTTCTATTTTATGGCAAATAGCTTCACTATTTTTGTGCTCTTCAAAACTACTTTACTTATTAAATAATCTCAACCCTTTGGTTAAAAATTTTAAATTTTCATAAATTATGAAAAATTCGAAAAACCAAATTTTTTAAAATTCAACACTTTTTCTTCTATTTTATGGCATTTAGCTTCACTATTTTTGTGCTCTTCAAAAACACTTTACTTATTAAATAATCTCAACCCTTTAGTTAAAAACTTTAAATTTTCAAAAATTATGAAAAATTCAAAAACCCGAATTTTTTAAAATTCAACACTTTTTCTTCTATTTTATGGCAAATAGCTTCATTATTTTTGTGCTCTTTAAAAATACTTTACTTATTTAATAATCTGAACCCTTTGATAAAAAATTTAAATTTTCAAAAATTATGAAAAATTCGAAAAACCGAATTTTTTAAAATTCAACACTTTTTCTTCTATTTTATGGCAAATTGCTTCACTATTTTTGTGCTCTTCAAAACTACTTTACTTATTAAATAATCTCAACCCTTTGGTTAAAAATTTTAAATTTTCATAAATTATGAAAAATTCGAAAAACCAAATTTTTTAAAATTCAACACTTTTTCTTCTATTTTATGGCATTTAGCTTCACTATTTTTGGGTTCTTTAAAAACACTTTACTTATTAATTAGTCTACACCATTTTATAAAAAATTTTAAATTTTCAGAAATTATGAAAAATTCGAAAAACCGAATTTCTTAAAATTCATCATTTTTTCTCCTCTTTTATGGCATTCTATGTGAAGAAAAGTGTGTTTTCTAATTTCCAAAAAACGTGCACGTACATCCTTAAAAACGCAGTTTATCCTAAATATTCATTCTACTATTTTTTGTAATTTATTATTTTTTAAATTGTAACAGCATCCATTCGGAGTAAAAAGAAATTTACCGCAAATTAATTGATTAACTTTTATAAGAATTACATAAAATTTTCTATGTGGGACATATGTATATGTCCCGGAGGCACGAAAGGGTTAAAAAATTTTCAGTGTACTTGGGTACTGAAAAACGAAGAATGAAGTTTTTGAATGATATTGAATATTGACTTTAGGAAATCGGAATGGATGTACCACGCTGTGATGGTGTTCAACGCCAATAGGGTAACTTATACATTTCTTTCCTATATAGGTATTGAGAACTCAGACGCTGTCGATTGAGAAAAATGCGAACTACCTAGTCTCATTTCTTTTCTTACCATAAGAATAGAGATTAATTGATTTTACGGATATTTTGCAATTTTCCTTCTGATGCCGAGTCTATAGGTATTTTGACTAAAATTTTCCAAAAATGTATACATTAAAAAGATGCGAATATAGTATTTTCCCAACTTGAGAGATTTTTAAAAGAGAAAAGTTGTAAAAATTTCGCGAGGTATTAGATTGAATAAATTTCAGCAGTTGGAAAATTTAGATATGTAGTTAAAATTTGCTTTTCACTTTCCGCGCATTCTTTGGTGCGCAACAGTGCGAACAGTGCGCAAGGGTAAGAAGAATGGTTGGATGAGAGTTTGGAAATATGCACTAGAATATCAGTATTCACAACACATACAAATGCCTTCGTATATTTACTATTCAGTATCGTTGCGACCATCGGTGGGGTCGCAACGCCTCACCCATAGTGTAGAAAACTAGTTCACCACGTGTATTTTGTGAATTGTGTAAAACTAATAAGGAAATTTTAAGTATTCACATTTGCAATACTTGGAACAATATTTTTTTGGGTCCATAATCAATAACGTCTTTCTCTCACATAGAATCTCAAACATCTCAATACATTTCAATACATATGTAATACATACCGGCTTGTAGTATTAGAAAGAGGAACAATCTATACTTGATATTCAATTGTTGGTATGTTTTTGTAATACGAGAGAAAATAATTAATATCAACATCATTTTTATTATTCTAACTGGAACAATAATTAAGATTCAAACCTTTCTGCTACTTAAAGGTTTTACTTTACAATAACTTGAAAGTGTCTTCTTTATTACCAAAAGAGGCTTGATCTCTAAAGGAACATTTTTTAGCATTTACAACAGGTTTGTATTACATAAATGATACACTCAAAAAAACGGATTCGTTGAAAAAAATAAAAATCAAACAGTTCAATGACATAAATACTGCAAAATATTTATTGGAGGTTATGTTTTCCCCATTAAAACTTTAATCAATGATCTAAATAAATATTTTTATTTGCAAAAATTAGCACAATCGTCTTTTTGTGGTTTAAATATACGGATTATTATCTCAAATGTCAAGGAATCAATAAAATAAATATGTTAAAAAATTTAATAATTTTTACGTTTTATAAATACTATAAAAGTTTATTTTAATGTTTTATTTTTCTAGTGGTTTTTTTATTACAATAAAAATTCGTGTCATTTTAATTTATAGTCGTTGATAATTTATTCTTGAAAAATAAGTTTGAAGAACTTTTATATTCACTATTTCTTCTCTTTGCGTTTTGACATTTGACACACGTGTTTTTTTTGTGGAATCGTCGTAATAATATTTAATAATTTATCATTTGCTTCGACGTCAAATTCATTTTTCTATTAGTGTATAAATTCACTTATTCAATAATTGTAAAAACTAATTTTAAAAAATGTAGTTGATTTGGATATTTAAATAATCAGGGAAACACTTGAAATTTGCAATATTAGCTCCACAAAAAAATTGCCGAATGAAAAAAATGATTTTTACTATTATTGAAGCAATTTTGTTTTTTGAAAAAACATTGTTTTTAGGTTGAAAATGCTAAAAAAATATCATTGTTACTCAATTTTTTTAATTAAAAATTCATTTGTTAATTTTTTTTAAATTTTTAAAAATTTTCTCTTACTATTTTTGACAGATTTTGATAAAATTTTATAGGTGTATTACGGTCACGAATATCTAGAATCAGACAGAAGGATTTTCAAAATTATAAAAAAAAAATTTTTTTAGCAATATTTTAATTTTTGAAAAAAATCGATTTTTGTATTTTTTGAAATAACTTTTTTCTCTATTAAAATTTGGATTAATGTTTGTCAAAATTGTATTGCTGGCATGAAAACGAATCGATTCATGTATATAAAGTATATATTTTATCAATATTTATAAAATTAATCAATATTTTTATTTTTTACAAAAAATTGAAATTTTGTATTTTTTGAAATTTTATCTTAACACTTTAAAATAATTATTCTAAAATAAAAAATTAAAAAATTGGTGTATGTATATTATATTGAGGAAGCTAAATGATCATGTTTAATATTTCCGTCCGCCATATTGGATCCGCCATTTTTAATTTTTAAAATTTGACTTTAACTTCGTCAGTGACCTAACGCGTATTGAAGAAACGGATTGTTGATTCGAGTTCAGTGTTCCAATTTATCTTAAAAACAAGTTTTTGTTGCTCTGTTCCAAAGCCTTATAAACCTGTGTTATTTTTTTAATAGGGAATAAATTTATAAAAAAAATTGTTATTTTTACGAAATTTTGACAATTTCAATTTTAAGTAAAAATTGTTTGTTCTAACGAATATTGTAATATATTATTAATTTATACACTTAATATAAATAAACTAAATTTTTATTTTCCACATTATTGAGATTAAATGAGGAGGGACTGAAAATTGCCCTTATTGTAACCCATCTTATTAACTATAATTGTTTTGTTTTCAAAATTGTAATAAAATAAATTGCTTTTATGGATTGAAATTGAAATATGCAATTTATTTAGAAATTTAGTAATCTGTTTATGAATAATAATGTTGAATAAAGTAATAAATAAGGTAAAGTAATTTAAATTACATTATTTCAAAGTGATACGCCATTTCATCAAATTGTTCGTTTCTGATCGGGGTAAAAATACTTTGACCCACAATATTGTAAATTTTTTTTTTCTACTAAGAAATTCAGGAAATTTGATCTTAACAATAGAGAAATTTATACAATTGCCTATTGTTTTGTTTCTTGTTCTTTTCTATTGTGGTACATGGATTGTTTCACATATATTTATTATGTTACAGATGGAAACCTGACGGGACAATATATTTTCTGAGACATTGCAGTTGGAAAATAATGATGTTTGTTTTTCACTGCAATGTATGGATTTTCTTATTGGTACTAAAAGTTGAATTAACTGTAACTGACAGTCTTGCAGAGGATATTTTTAACAAACAACATAATGATTCAGTTAACAAAAGCTACTACAATGACAATAACAACTTTAACTCACATTATTTATTTTATCCCAAATCCAAGGAAAAAAAACCAAACATTGTTCTGATACTAACAGATGATCAAGATGTTGAACTTGGTAGGTTATTTGTAGGATTTTACAAATTGACGACCTGATGGAAATTGCACGTCATATTTTAATGTTAAATAAATTTAACATTTGTAGCAGTGAACTTTGAACTTTAGACTCCGAAGAGTCACTATCAAGTTTTGTCTAACATACTGACTTTTTGCTGAATTAAGACTTGATTACGAAGGAAGAATTCGACTTTATCAACAATTAGTGACATCTAGTAAATGTGACTTTAAACTACAGGGTTTAAATTATATCTAATAAATGTCACTGTGACTAATTGCTGCTAAAGTCGAATTCTTCATTCGTAATTAAAAGATAATTAATGATGATTCACTTTAGGGTCCTTAAACTACATGCCAAAAACCTTAAGGCGAATAAGAGATAATGGAGCTGAATTGAGGCATGCATATGTAACTACTCCAATGTGCTGTCCAAGTAGAAGTTCTCTTTTGACTGGTCGCTATGTTCACAATCATCAAGTGTTCACTAATAATGACAACTGCAGCAGTCCTCAGTGGCAACGTGATCATGAACCTCATTCCTTCGCTGTTTACCTCAGCAACGCTGGTTATCGTACTGGTAAGTTCGTCCCCATTTTCATCAATTCCTATCGCTTTTACCGTCTTAACACTTACACTGACTAATCGGAATTCCGATTAGCGACAGCGCTATACTGGAAATATAGCGCCAAGTTCAATCTTATAATACTAATTCATATTCATAGCTATACTAAGATTAAGACTAAAATTATGATTTTAGATCAAGACTAAGACTAAGTTTTCTCCAGTAACTTAAATCCTTTGTCCGTTGATTCAACCACACTTTTTAATTCTTAAAATTTATTAACAAAACTCTTAAGGTCCCGTTATTCAGTGTGAAGTTTTTTCATAGTAACGTATATGGGGCACGTGACCACTGAATAACATAACTTATATTTATATTGTAGGATATTTTGGCAAATATTTGAATAAGTATAATGGATCATATATTCCTCCTGGATGGCGCGAGTGGGGAGGATTAATAATGAATTCACGATACTATAACTACAGTGTGAACATGAATGGCAAGAGGATAAAGCATGGGTTCGAATACAGTAAAGATTATTACCCGGATCTAATAGCAAATGATAGTGTATCATTTTTACGACAAAGTAAATATAATATGGCTCGTAAGCCATTAATGTTAGTTGCCAGTTTTCCCGCACCTCATGGACCTGAAGACTCTGCTCCACAATTTTCTAATCTATTCTTCAATGTCACCACGCATCAGTGAGTTTACTATTTAATCAAACTTTTGACATGGTTGGCAAATAAAAATTTATGTAACTCAGGCGAATTATGGTTACTTTACCTACATGTACAGGCGCATAGTAAGTTCTTCCTTATAACCCAGCGGTCAATAAAGTGTCCATTTTTGCCCTTGGTTAATAAAAAGAGGTGTCTTGGTTGGAGACGTTTTTGGTGTCTCCAACCAAGATACCTCTTTTTATTAACCAAGGGCATCCAAGACACCTCTTTTTGCAGTGTATTATTTCCCTAGGTTAATAAAGGGCCCATTATTGCCCAAGGTTAATAAAATTGCGCAGTATTACTTTATTGATCGCTCGCAGGTTAATAATGGACCCATCTTTACTCTAGGGCAATAATGTGCATTGATCTTGCTCACAGGTCAATAGTTTTCATTATAAACCTAGGTCAGTAATGGTCACTTTATTGACCTAGACTATATGGAGGAACTTAGCATGCAACGACGAACATGTACTTTTAATTACAGAGACGATAGTACATTTTGTATAATTTATACATTGGTGTTCCAGCACACCTTCTTATGATTATGCTCCAAATCCGGATAAACAGTGGATTTTGCAAGTGACCAAGAAAATGCAGCCGATTCACAAAGAATTCACTGATTTATTAATGACTAAAAGACTTCAAACATTACAAAGCGTTGACGATGCAGTTGAACGAGTAAGTTAATCTAAAGTTACTTTTTTAAGGCGGTAATTAATTAATTAATTTACTGTTTATACATCCGTCTACAAAATGTGCGAAACGGCTTAAAATTAAGAGCACAGAAAAAAATTTGGGTGACAAGCTATACCGGCGAGTACCGTAGCCTTCCTTAAGAGAATATCTATGCTGACCTTTATTTAGATCTGCTGGATGACAGTTGTTGGTTCGCAGGTGACCCACAGCGGGAAACAGTGAGTCTAACGGTCTGTGGAACATCTGCTTACCCACAAAGCGAATATGAATTCACAAAGCGAATTCTCTTCCAAGTAAGAGAAAGCAGCGCACAATATTCATCTTAAGACGGCTGTGCTACTCGACGTTGCAGTTTGTCACCCAAATTTTGTTCAGTGTTCTCGCATTTTCTTTGACCACCCAGTGTGCAAGGGGAGAGACGAAACTGTAGAAAACTTCTCCCGAATACAGTCGGTTTTATCGACTCAGGGTCACGCACAGAAAGTTCATTTTTAGGAAAATTTGTTTACAGATTTGCAAAGAACTGGAAGCTCTTGGTGAGATGGATAATACTTACATAATTTATACATCTGACCATGGTTATCATCTTGGTCAATTTGGCCTTGTCAAGGGGAAAAGTTTCCCCTTTGAATTCGACGTGCGCGTTCCTTTTCTAATCCGTGGTCCTGGCATTCAACCCGGTTCGATGTAAGTATTCAAGTAGCGCAAACATAAAGTTAATTTTAATTTCAAGAATCTAAATTTAAGCTACACGGAAAAAAATAGTCGCAGAAATTTTCAGCGACTAATCGAAGACTCTCGGATATGAAAGAATCTTTCATGGACTTTTAGAAATGTTCTACGATTTTAGCAGAAATTCTCCAAAAAAAGTCGAGGACTTTCTAAAACCTAGTAGCGGAAAACAGTCTCGGAATTATTCTAACATTTCATAGAAGGTTTCGTCGACGAGTCGCGGAAAATGGTGCGCACAAAAGGTGCTCGCGTTAAAACCAATAAACACTGTTTTTTTAACAGTTTTTTTAACAATTTATTACAATTGATTGACAAGATTATTATTTTTATTATTCAATGCATCGATATTAATATATACATTATAAAATTTTAAGTAATTTCCGCGACTGTCAATGAAAAATTAGAACGCTGTAGAGTAAATTCAGGTTTGTAATTTTCCGCGACTGTGGCGGAATCGGTTACATGCACGTGGAGTCTTCATTTTCCTCGACAGTCGCGGAAAGTTTCTTCAACTGTAGTCTATTTCTTCAAAAACTGTGAATATGATTTTTAAAACACTTTCCACTAAATCCAAGAGTCTTCAACAAAGTCGAGGAAAATTTCCGCGACTAATTTTTTCCGTGTAATATCTAGAATATAATATATATAGTATTCAAACTGTTGGAAGTCTAAGTCAAAAATATTAATAAATAAATTATTTACAACTTATCTTAAATTTTAATTTAATTAGGGGTCTTCCATAAACCACATGGTCCCATTTTTTTGAAATTTCAACCCCCCTGTGTGGTATGCTGTTACATGTATTAGCGCCATTTTTTCCTCTTACCGTGGTCCATAGCTTGACCCCCCTCTCCCCCTTGTAAAGTCACGTGGTTTATGAAAGACCCCTTAAAGTTAATCAGTTACGAAATGCATTAAGACAATGTCTTTGTATATGTTCCCTTATAGAATAGATGACATCGTTTTAAATATTGACTTGGCTCCTACTTTTTTGGATATCGCTGGTATAGACGTACCTTCGCATATGGATGGTCGTTCATTTAGAAAACTCTTTCTAAAGTAAGTTAATACTTTTTACTTATACACTGAAACCCCACTTATTTGAACATGGCCCACGCAATTCGACATGAAGTGTCGCGTTTATTTGTATTTTAGTCGACATAACCTATGTTGGTGACGTAATTCGATAAATTGACATGATTGGTTGGTTTTGTTTGAACTCAACCAATGAGAATGTAAGTATCTTTCCATTGGTCGCGTACTGCGCATGAGGTAAAATAAGTGAGGTTAGGGCTGATTCTAACTAAAAATAACTGAAGCAAAAACGGATTCAAATAAACGCGACTTTAAGTAAACGAGACTTTAAATAAGTGGGGTTTCAGTGTATTACCTTATACTTAATAAATTTTCCCTCTGTCACAATACAAAGCAACCGTTAAAGTTATTTCAAATAATTTTTTTATCCTTGAGCAGCTCCACACTAAGTGGTCAGAAGAATTTGTTACTCGGGGGTTTTTGGGGTCACTGATTACGAATCCGATGACAGATTTTAAAAATACAAAATGGCGGACATATTTTTTAAAAAATTCAACGGATTCGCTTACAATTCCTTACTCAGGGGGTTATTTGAGGTCGATGATTACAGATACGGTGTCAGATTTTAAAAATTCAAAATGGTGAAGCCAATATGGCGAACAAGCTTTATATTTCTTTTTTGAAAACGGACTCTTTTTTCTACCCACTTTTAATAAATTTTTCAACAACTTATGAATTTTCGGTTTTTACTCTGTTTGCCCCCTTTTCCTGGGCAAGGTCACAAATAATAAAATAATTTTTGTACTCGTTTTTGAATAATTTACTATAGAGCCTATATTTTATTTGCAATAGTGAACATGGCAGAAGAATAAAAATTAAGTGGCCAGACACATTTCTAATTGAATCATCAGGTCGCAGAGAAATTGCAGATATGAGTGCAGAAGCTAAACTTAAAAAAGCTAGAAGACAATTTAATACTGGAACCAAGCAAATGTTGAATGTATCTGCAGAAAATGATGACATTGCTTCTTTGAATCACTCAGAAGCAAAGAAAAATGTTGGTTATAAAATCAACGTTAATAAGGCACGAGATATTTTCGATAATGATGATTTCAATGAATTATTCATAGACGACATAAGTGAGTACATGTATTTAATATTTAACTGTAGATTAATGATTTGACCTATCGGAATATTATTTAGTTAGTAACGACTTTAATTCCAGAAAATTAAAATATTGAAGTTTGAAAAACTTATTCCCTATCATGAAATTGATTACTCAGAAGCATCTTTTTAAAAAGGAAAATGGAACGATTTTAAATTTAGTTGATAGATTATGTTTCTATAGATTTTAGCTCGCATTTGAGGAGTAACGTAAAGGAGCCTTTTTACAATTCAAAAGTTGAACGCTTGACTTTAGAATGTTCGAGGCCTGAAGCTCAAGCAGACTGTATTCCGGGTCAAAAATGGCGTTGCGAACGAGACGGTCATCGATGGAGAAAATATAAATGTCGGAAACCAACAGTACAATCTTCTTCGCAAGTCGAAACAAGAAAATGTGCCTGTTTCACGCCGAATGGAGTTGTTTACACAAGACTGGAAACGAATAACTTTAATAAGCATGCTGCTATTGCTGGCAAAAAGAAGAAAGGAAATCCGATCAATGGGACTAATAATAGCATTTCTTTAAATAGGGGTAACTTCTTTTTTTCATATCTTTGATTTGTTAACTTTCTCTTTACGACGTTTATTTAATATTTTCTTTTAGATATTTTAAATTGGAAGCCAAACAACTTGAATCAACGAGCAGTTAAATACTTTTATCACATTTTTAAAAAGTACATGCAGAGACGTTCAAATGTCAATAATCGATTTTCAAGAACTCAGAGGAGTGCAGCAAGGAAAGAAGTTCAGAAAGACAGAATGAAGACTGTGAAGAGTATTGAACATGAGTTAGATGATGTTAAGGTATTCTATTCATATCAAATTTTAATCACTATATGCTGATATTAATAAATAATTTCTTCTCTCCAGCTTATCATTTAAAATCCGAATATTCATTTTATTTTAGAGCATCAGAAGGACTCACTTAAAGAAACACCTTCCTCGAAATGATAAAGATGAAGAAAATGAATCTAACAATTTCAATGAATCAAAAATGAATCAAAAACAAAAGTCCTTCCATCGAAAGCCTCGAAATCACACAAGTCGTCAACAAACAGAACTCGACAAAACAAACAATCAACAAACCATTTCAAATACATTTCAAACAACTTTAAAAAGTACTCCAAATGAGAAAAACATAATTTTTTTACTAGACAAAATAAATGCAATGAATAACCTACCGAGAAAAGAAAAGAGGAGAAAATTAAATAAAATTTTACAATCCACAGCACAATCAGAATTTTTTACCAACGAATCTCACAGGGGAAATGAAACTCAAGACAAGTACAAAAAATGTTGTAAATATAATCGAAGAAATGATACCTCATTCAATAACAGTGACAATAAAAAGAATTTTATCTTAGAATCTACAAAAGACAACGAAAATTTTATTGACGAACAATCGAAAAAGACTACTGATTATATTACTAAATCAATAACCACCACGGAGTCATCGACATTACAAAAATCAGAAAATGATTTTAATCATTTACCCAAGACAACTCCTGGCGCTTTAGAAACAATGGATTTGTCTAATACTCTTCCAGATGTTACGACGACAAAGCTGATGAAGAATAAGAGACGAAGGAATTATAATAGACGTGAGACAGATTTACAAAATTCAACAGATTTGAAACCATCTTTCCGAATACAAAAACATGGTAACTTTTATTTCATTTTTTAAACAAATACATAAATTTCAAAAATAATAAATTTCGAACTTGATTTTAGGTAACACGAAAAAAAATTTCAAGTTACCTACAGTGATGAATTATCCATTTAATGGACACAGTAAATGTTACTGCGAACCGGACACATACTACAAACGAGATATAGAAGATGCAGCTAAGAAAGAGAGACGAAGGATAAAAGAAGAATTAATGCGTAAACGGGAAAGGAAATTGAGGAAAAAGAGTAAACTGGAAAAACAATGTATAATGGAGAAAATGAATTGTTTCGAGCACAATAATGATCACTGGCGAACTGAGCCATTATGGAGCAGCGGACCATTCTGCTTTTGCATGAATGCTAATAACAATACCTATTCATGTGTTCGTACAATTAATAGTACTCATAATTTTCTTTACTGTGAATTCACAACGGGATTAGTCACGTTTTATAACTTAAGAATAGGTGAGTAGAGAGAAAAAAGAAATACTTTTCTTTTTACATAATATTTACGATAAATTTTTTAAAACTAACAAAAATTCGTATTCAGCGACCCAAAAAAAAACTCGTCCGCCATATTGGATCCGCCATTTTGAATTTAAAAAATTTTTTAAATCCGACATCTAATTCGTAATCAGCGATCCCAAAAATCGCCGAGTGACAATTTTGAATCAAATTCAATCAATTTCTGAAAATCTCGTCCGCCATTTTAAATTTTCAAAAACTAACAACGGATTCGTAATCAGCGACCCCAAAAAAACCCAGAGTAACAATTATTTTGAAGCAATTTTAATGAAATTTAAAAATATATAATTGTCTAAACAATTTGTTAAATAGAGACGCATGATTATTCCCCAAATGTCATTAGACCGAACTGTCATTTTACCGAGTTCAATTTATCCGAACTGTTATTTTAACCAAATGTCACTTTTGCGAATCGACATTTTTACGAATTGTCACTTTTGCGAATGGTCATTTTTGCGAAATATCATTTTTACGAATTGTCATTTTTACGAATCGTCACTGTTACGAAATGTCATTTTAACGAATTGCATTTATTCGAACTGTAATTTTAACGAATTGTCACTTCTACGAAAAGTCATTTTTGCGAATTGTCATTTTTAAGAAATTGCTATAGTAAACTTGTATGCATATATAGATTTACTAAAGCAATTTTCGCAAAAATGACAATTCGCAACAGTGACATTTCGTAAAAATGACAATTCGAATAAATGCAATTCGTTAAAAATATTCCAGAGTATTTTACAAATCCGTTTAGGAGTTTAGGCTCTACGTTTGTCTAAATCTCGAAAAGTCGCTATTTTTCAGTTTTCTTTGTTTAAATTCTATAAAAGTATCAAAAATATTGAATAAACTTATAACAGAATTCTTTCTTTTATTATTCTTTAACAAAAAAAAAAAAAAATTGAGCAAAATCGGTTAATATTTACACGAGTTATTCGATGTTACCCTTACTTTTCAGATCCATTCGAACAATGGAATAGAATATCGTCATTAACTTCATCAGAAGTAACATATTTACATAATCAATTGGAACGTCTTAAAGAATGCCGAGGCGCACAAGAGTGCACTGTTGGCAATGTTGGCAATGTTAGAAAGACAGTAAATTATGCAAAGCAAAAATCTAGCAACTCTTCAAGTAAGTGTATAATTAAGATTTAAAGAAACCTGTATGTTAAATTAGTTATTTGGCTTTGGATTTTAACCGAATGACACATTGACTATTTTAAGTTCTTTTATAGAGTAATTAGAATAAGGCGCTGAATAATGTTTGATAAAAATCCATAATCCTATATTGTTTCTTGTCTAGGAGAAGCTGAAGCCAGGACAGCCGAAAAAACATGACATAATACATAGCAAAATGCATTAAATTAAAAATAAGTTGAAGCATACTAGCCAGAAAGTTTTTATAATTATTTAGTTGCTAAAATTAGTGGATTAAAATTGTTGCTTAGTCAGGTTTTATAAAATAATTATAATACACTTGTACAGACTAAGTACAGTTTAACTGAAGCGATTTGAGATTATTTCTAGTATATTTTAATCAATTACGATTTAGAGTGTTCAAAGATCTCTGAAATTCCTAGGTTATGTAAGACATCTGATTGATCCGATTATCGCAAATTCAAACAATCTTCACGATTATTATAATTTAGAAAATGCTTACCCATATCGTACGTTGGCAGATTTTGTATAAAGTGTCTGTATTCAGAGGAAAATTTATTAGAAAATGTTTGTTTACCAATTTTACGTCATTTAAACCAGTTAGTGCTTTTGGCGATAATCGAAGGTCTCACATAACCTACAAATTGCAGAGACCTTCAATCACTCTTCAAATGCATAATATAATTTATTGCTATTTGGTTTAAGTTTTTTATGAATATATAATCATAGCTTATTTATTGATATTGCGCAATTTTAATTATTTATATTTTCTTGGACACGTATTTAATATTAGTATTATTAATTTTTATTTATTCTACCACAGTGCTCATGTAATTTATTCAAAATTAATTTATCAATGATTGATATTTAAAATTTTTCATTCTTTCAATATTAAATTATTATTCATTATTATATTTGTATTATCTTCGAAGGTGTGTTGTGTGTGCGAGCGAAAATTTGTATATTTTAGATTGTGTGCGTGGGAAAATAATAAAAAAAAATCATACTTATTTCATTTACAAAAAAAAAATAATGTTGCGCATTCGCAGAAAATATTTATAACACTTCCAATTAAGTTTTGAGCACTTTTTGCTGTGATAACACGGTATTTGTAGAGAAAATTCTTAAATAAAAATATTATACAAAATGCAAATCCACTTTTATGTAACACTATAAAGGTTTGCTGGATAATTTATAAATTTTTCAAATAAAATTGTTTTGTAATAAACTATAGATAATAATAATAATAATCGTGAATTGTTGTAAATTCATAAACCAGACTTTGAATTTCATTTTGCAACATTTTTTTTAAATTGTCCCTGCTAAAAATAAAATCAAGAATAATGAGAAAACATCATTTCTGTGTCTTCGACTCGGAGTGATCACTTTCTTCATGTTTTATAATAATTAAAGATAACTGAGTGATAAGATCATTATTTTCTACTATAAAAAATATTTTTACTGTAACTTCTTCAAAATTATTTTCATAATTTCAATTCAATTATTATTTTTTTGAATTTTCAACTAAAATTTTTCTTTAAATCAATTATTTACAATAATTTTTTAAAAAATTCTCTAAGAATTTTCAAATGTATTTGTTTACAATTCAATTGTTTAAATAAAAAAATAAATAATTTCTTAAATAATTGAATATTTCTTAATATTGAATTCTCATAAAGAATTTTATCAACAAACTTTTCAAAAATTAAATTTTTTCAACGAATTGCAATAAAAATTTTTTAAATAATTACATTTTTCGAGGCATTTGAATAAAATTGTAGGTACTAAAAATAAGTAATTGACATTCTGCTATGAGTTTGATTATTTATGAAAATAATGGAATTATTGCGAAGAAATTTATAAAAAATTTGTAAATAATAATAGAATTCTTGTGAAATTATTTTATTATTTATGAAAATAATTAAACGTTTGCGTAGAAGTTTAATAAAATTTAATTTTTTTTAAATAATTGGATTCTTTTGGAAAATTTTATTAAAATTGTAGTAGATATTGAATATCATTGAATTTAGACAAATTTTTGCAAATAATTGCAATTTTGCCGAGAATTTTGATTAAAAATTTTGAAAATAATTGAATTTCGAAGAATTTTATTATTTATAAAGAGAATTGAAATTTTGACGAGAATTTCTTTAAATTTTTTAATATTTAATTGAATTTCTGGGAAATTCTTCAGATAATTAAATTTAATTTAACTAATTTCAGAATTATTTAGATTTTGAAAATTTTTGCAAAAATTTAAGTTATTTAGAATTTCTAATGAAATTTATTCAAAATTGAAATTTTACAAAATTTCAAATTGAAATCTTTTCAAGTTCATCTATTTATAAAAATTGTAAACAAAACTATTTTAAAATTCAATTAATTTTGAAGTGTATAAATAAAATTATTCATTAAATAATTTCTAAGTTATAATTTTATGATAGTTCTTCAAGAATTAATTTATTTAAAAAAAAATATTGACAGAAATGGAAAAATTAAAGGTATTGATTAGAATTTTTGTTTTTTTTTCAAAAAAACTATTAATAATAATATTTTAATTATTTGAATGTTAATTAATTATTATTCTGGAGGTATGCATTCTGTTTGAATGAACCACCTTATAATTTATATAATTCTTTACAATATCTACATATATTACTTAAATCATTAACATAAAAAAACATATTTATAGTATGTTGTGGTGTTAATAATCTAAATAATCTAAATAAGATATAAAACGCACTGAATTCTATAACATTGAGTTTAAATTTTATGATTACACTTTGAAAAAGATTTCAAAAAAAGAAAAACTTGTTTATTTTTTATTAGAAAAAGGTGAAAAAGGGGATAACATTGAAATAAGGGGACGGAAATTTTACTAGTAAATTTCCCCTTATGTAAAGCAGGGATATAAAAAAATAAAATAAATAAATTCAATAAATTTCTTGTTTGTACAGAATTTTATTTGTTTCGCTCCTTGCATACATTTCATTTCTTTCAATAAATTAATGACATAAGTTAAGACACATTCTTTGGCTTTATTAACAAAACAGAAGACTAGAAAGTATTTCGTTATCATATGTAAGAAAAAGAGCATTCTGTTTTAAAAAAAGGTGTTTAGCACCATAAAAATATCGTTCAACGTAATTAAAACTTATTCTCCATATCTATCACGTCGATGCTTGACAATAGACAAAAAAACATAAATCTTTGGTTTACTTTTTATTCTATCTCTAAAAGTTCACTAATGTCTACATCTAAATCAACTTCTTCGGTGTTTAACATTTCGTCATCTATTTTAAAAGAACTAGGCTTATTGTATTCTAAAGTACGTGAAGCGACTGGTATTTTTCTACTTTCGATAAAGGAACCTTTTGTGATTAAATTATCCGTATTCAATGAACTTTGTGGAATCACATCTTTTTGAACTGTTGGTTTTAGGGAAGACTTCGCCATTGAAATGGCTTCTAGTGAAATGGATGGCATCATTCGAACATTTACCTGTAATATCAATGTTTAAGAATTTAAGATTTCATTTTATTTGACACTAGTTTGCTGTAAAGTTGCCTTGCAAAATTGCTGCAAGTTCTGCTATTTGTGTAATAAACTATAGTTGTAATTTACATTACCTGTTCTTTTACGATCTTCGAGATTTCCTTCGATTTATCATTTTGGGGTCTTTTGACCATGACATTCTCCATGCTTTTAGCTTTTTCCTGCCTAAGTGATTGAATTTCTTCACTTATTACACTAAAACCAATATTTTACAATTATTCTCAAAATCCGTATTTTGAAAATCAAAATTAAAACATAAATTAAAAATTATAAATATGTACAACCTTGAAGTTCTCGAGTCATCTTCGTCACTATCGTCTGTGTTTGGAGTAGTCATTGATTCTCTTGGAGTTGAATTTTTTTCCGAACTTCTCAAGTCAAACAATACTTTCTTCTTAATCAAACATCCAACAGAACTTGCTGTCTTTAAAACACTTCTATTATTTTTTGGCGATTTCGTTAAACTATTTGTGCTTTCTTTATTAGTTGTGGTTGAAAAAAAATCCGGCATTAGGCTCTTTCTACTTCGCATAGAAGAAGTACTGGTGCTCGTTAATTCAAACCTAGGTTTAGAACTACTTAATTCTTTATTTCCTTTAATTGGCAAACTTTCAATACTTTCGCAAGAACTTTCTAGTTCCTGAAAATCATCCGTTGTGTCCTTAATTTCTTTCAATGCTGGTTCACTATTGGATAATTTTCTAGCAGAATACAAAAATTTGGATTTCGGATTTTTATCCTGTGTTTCATATTTTTTAATTTCTGATTTTCTAAAATCTTTATTTTCAAATTCAATTAGTTTTGATGGTAAAATATCTAATTGCTTTGGTGAATTCTTTTTTGACAAATCCATACTTTTTGGTAGTGACATTCGGGTACCTTGAATAGAAAGGAAAATTTAATTTTATTATAGAAGATTGTACTTAAAACATGTGCATTATACATTTTTATGTTTTAAAAAGTTCAGGACACTTTACCACGACGTATTTTATCGAAACTTGGAGTCTTCTGTATACTGAGTGCTTTCATTGCCTTTGATTTAACATTTGTTATCACTTTATTTAAAAGAGACTTTTTTACTGATTCCTTCTTCTCAGTTTGTCCATTCGTTTTGTATATAATTTGATAAACATTGTCCAAAAGATTTTCTTGAATTTGACTGTAAGCTTTAAATTTCTAAAATTTTTAAATTTTTAATTAGTAATATATTAATACAAACAACTACCTAGAATAACTAAATTTTTATTGCCATTGTCACTATAAAAGATTTTCTTTTTGAAATTTAATGAAAATTCTTCATTTTTTAAAAAACATAATTTTTCTAACAGTTTTCCTTTGAATTAGGTAATAATTTAAAAAATAAAGTTATATTTTTATACTTTTTCTTCCTTTAAATTTTCAAAAAATTTAATTTAAACACCTCTTAAAATTTAATTAATTCCTAAACATCCTGTTATAACGCTTTAAATATTCAATTACTTTTTAAAATTTTAACTGAGATAAGTAATTGAATTCTAAAGAATTTTAATGAAAAATCTTCAAAAGCGGAGTTTAAAAATTAAAATTAGTTTCTAAAAATTCTATTAAAATATTTTTGACAAAAATAATTCTTAGAATTTTTTATAATCTAATTGTTTAAAATTCAATTATCTTCAATAATTTTAGGTACATATTTTTAAAAATTTAAATAAATACAAAAAATAGTAACATTAAAATTTTTTAGAATTAGTTTTAAGACTTTGGAAAAAACAACCATATTCACAATTTTTAATTAAAATTCTTCAAAAAAGTAATTAGTTTTTTTAAATTATACCAAATTTTTTTTAAGAAATTCTATTATTTTCGAAAAATTAAATTCCATTAGTTATAAAAAAAACTTTTTAGAATTGTTTTATGATAATTTTTTTTAGATTTAATTGTCTTCTTTTTAGACTTATTAAAATTCCGGAGAAATCATGTTTATATTTATAATTAAAATTCTTCAGATATTCCATTATTTTTTTATATTTTCAAAAATTCAATTATTTTTAAAAGATTTTACCAAATTTAAATTGTTTGGAATTTTTTCGATTTTATGTAATTAAAAAACTATTATTTTTCAAAATTATTTAAAAATATTTTTAAAAAATTAATTTTAACATTTTCTTTATTATAATTTTTTGAAAATATTACATTTTAATAATTTTAAAAGAAAACATTGACAGTCACAATTATTCTAAAAAATTGAATGTTTGTATTTAAATAAGTGAATTCTCAAAGAACTTTCGCAAATTATTAAAAATAATAATAATTGATTTAGAGATGAAGTTTAGTTAAACATTGGAGGAAATAATTGAATTTTGAAAGGGTTATAATTATAATTTTTAGAAATTATTAAATTTAAGGTTTTAAATTTTATTTCCCGTGAAAAAAAAATTTAAACGTATCTATTTAACAAAATTATTTAAGTTTCAAATAATTGAATTTAGAAATCAGTGAAAGGGGAAAATCAGGGAAATACAAAATAAAATTTTAGTGACAACACTGAATTAAATAAACAACTTTTTAGACTTTTTTGCAATTGAATAAGAAACCAGGGTGTCTAGTAATTTAGAAATATAAAATTCCCGGGGTTTTCCCGGTTTTTTCCCGGTATGTAAATAATTTTCCCGGATAATTGAAAACTAAAATTTTACAGTAAATTTAATCGTAATATTTGTAAAACTTATAATAAGAATTGTATTGTGATTTACTTGACGGTAATTTCATGTTTAAAATCAAAAACAGGTGTCGCATCACTGTAAAAATTTGGCACAAGCTTCCCAGTGGGCAAAAAACCATCATTGTTTTAAAAACGTTCCAAAAATGTTTTTAGAACGTTTCATGTCTGCCAAATAACGTCCCAATAACGTTATATGTTTCTAAAACGTTTTAAAAGCAATGGAACGTTTTTGGAACATTATTTGGCAGACATGAAACGTTCTAAAAACATTTTTGGAACGTTTTTAAAACAATGATGGTTTTTTGCCCACTGGATTGTCACATCGAAAATCATTTCCCATATAAGTTAGGTCTTAATTGGACAATAATAAAACATTGTCTAATATACGAAGAGAATCAATATACAATTCGAAATTAAAAAAAAATTAAGTTACGCGTTGAAAAAATGTAACTATTTTTTCCAACAACATAATAAAGTACTTCATAAAAAAATTCCCGGATTTAAAAGAAAATTCCCGGGGGTTTCCCGGTTTTTCCCGGGAAAAAAAAAATTCCCGGGGTTTTCCCGGTTTTTCCCGGATTCCCGGTTCGCTAGACACCCTGAAGAAACACTTGAATATGAAAATAAGAAATCATAATTATTAATTGTGAAAATTTTAAAAATGAAACTTTTAAATGAGATTATTATAAAAAATAATTAAACATTAAATAGATTTAGAACAAGTTTCGTTAGAATTACAATATTAATAAATAGTTACCTTGCATTTTATTTTTTGATGATGCTTCAAAATTTCAAACTTCTCTTTATACGTTGCACTTGGAATTCCATTCCATTCAGGGTCGATACCCAATTTTCGTAACTGGTTATTCAAATTACTGTGCAATTTACTCTTCAATTCATCTAAATCTAAAGCACACTTATTTATGTCATTCAGGTAAGAATTTTCAAACGTTGAAGATTTAATTTCATTTTTCTTAAAAGTATCATATTCACTTTCAGATTTCACAGTGCGATTTGTCATTTGCGACTCATCACTTGACTCTGTCTCACTACTCGATTCACTTGACTCAGATTCACTTGAATATTCACTTTTTTCCGTCTCGGAATAATCTTCACAAGATTTTTTAACACTTTCCAAATTATCATTTTTACGAATATTCGAATTCAGAAGTCGTTGCAAACTTTGCGTTTGCAAAGTTTTTAAATTACTTATACTTTTTTGTTGGGCAAATTTTTCAGTTTTCTTCGAATCGACAGCATCAGTTTCTTTGAAAAACGAATTTCTAGTTCGTTGTTTTTCATTGGAAGAAAAATTCAAAGGGGAATTTCGTGACTCAACTGGAATAATTTCATGTCCAGATGCAACTTTTATTTTATTAACTTTTCTTGATAAATCTTTTTTTACTTTTGGTTCATTTAATTCAGAGTTAGATGAACTTTCGAAATCTTGAAGTTGAAGAGAAAATTTGTCATTTTGAAACTGTTGAGTGTTATTTTTTGACGAATCCGCTTTAGTAGAGAGTTTAATAATAGTTAGATTTTCAGAATCAGAATGAACCTGTAGGTCAGTAGATACAGCAACATCTTTTAATTCAACATTTTTATTAACAACAATAGCAGATTTTTCGCTATTAGATTGATTCTCTGGTATATTTGTTTTTGAATCGTTTTCGGATTTTATTGATTCAGTAAGTTTTTGCTTCAATTTCAATTGAGTACATAAATCTTCGATATCGGCACGAAGATTGTTCTCGAGATGTTTTAATTTTTCGTTACAATAGCTGTCTTGCTTTTGTAGTTTGTCTTGGGAAATTTCCAAGTCAGATGTAACCTGCATTTGTAAACAGAACAATAAAAATAACAAATACTTTTGAAAATATTTTATAGGGTTCCTTAACCGTGCGGAATTCTATTAGTCTCACTTTTTGGCAAAATTTTATTTTTTGCTCTAGAAAAAAGACTTATTTGACCGATTTTTGGCGAAAAATGAAAAATTTTGAAAAGAAATTAATCAACAGCTTTAAATTTCACAATTTTTTATGTTACCGGTTTAAAATATCACTTGACATAAATTTTATTTTACATAAAATTAGTGTTGCCGCGATACGAGACGAGGCGATAATTTTAACTGTCTCGTCTTGTCTCGTTATTATAGGGCAATTTATCGTCTCGTCTCGAGTGTCGAGAATGCTACACATTATCGTCTCGTCTCGTCTCGAGTGTCGAGAATGCTACACATTATCGTCTCGTCTCGTCTCGTCTCGAGCGTCGAGAATGCTACACATTCTAGTTTTCTCTCGTCTTTTTCAGCTTTCTTTATAAAAGTATAGTATTGTAAAAAATTTGACGTGTTAATTTTTTTTAATGTTAATATTTATCTTAGATATACATATATGTCTGTAAAATTTTGTTCGCACATTACGAAAAAATGACTTGACGATTAAAGTGAGACTTGGTAGTCTCTCAGGTATTAGTCTGGTTTAAAATTTTAGCTATATTGGAATAAAAAATGTTAAGCTGAATAATAGTTACAATTTATTTTCAAATAATCAAAAATGCAAATTTTTTTATTTTTTGCATTAAAAAAATGTTTTTGTCTCCAATAACTGATTACTTGTTTTGTTTATTAGTAAATAAATTTTATTTGCTTCAAATTCTGAATTCATTGGTTCAAAAATAATTTATTTCAGTAAAATAAAAATTATTTCATTCAAGTTCAAGTGAATACTTTCTTATTTGATTCAAATCAAATAATTTTTAAAAAGATAAATATAAAAGTTGCTAACTTTTTTAGCTAAATATAGAACCCATTTTCACAATAATATTTAAAAATAAGCAAAGAAACTGAATTTATGATCCAAACCCAAATTTTTTTTTCATAATTTTTTTAAATTTATTTTTCCGTTAAATATTGCTAAATTAAAAAAAACACTGAAAAATGAATTAAATTTCAACTTTTAGTTAAAAAAGAATTTATTTACTAAATATTAGGGGAACATAGTCTAGGTCGCCCACCTTTTTGACTTTTGTTTATAACTTTTTTTTAAAAATGAATTTGGACAATTGAAGTATATGGTTGGAAAGTCCTGTTTAATAGGAACATTTTTTCTGTACAAAGTAAATTGACAGGTTTAAAAATGAAAAAGTTATAAAGATTTAAAAAAAAAAAAATTTGTAGTCTAGGTTGGCCATTACAGTCAAGGTCGGCCATGTTTAAAATTCAAAGGGCATTAATCGTTAAAAAATAAAATAACATGTTTGGAGTTACGGAAAATTGATTCTTTATTGTTTACAGTTTGTAACTTAATGAAATAACAAAATAATAACAATAAACAATATAAAAAAATAAATATAAATAAAAAAAAGTTTTGCACTAAAATATTAATAAAATTAAATAAAAATATTAATAAGATGATCAATTATATTATGACCCTGTAAAAAAAAAAGTATTGGGAGGTACGGGATTCCGTATTGCAAGTGCCAACCTGCCAATGCGGTATTCGCGAATTACCGCATTGGGTGTCGTGGTGAATACGGAAATCAGGGGGTCCCAATGCGGTGCCAGTTTTAAGCTTTAAAAAAACGAAAATACGTGACAGGAGGAAATAATTAGTGTCAGTGGAGAAATATGCGAGTTAAAGGAATGAGAAAATAATAATAGTGAGTGTGAAAATGAAATTTTAAGAAAAAAAGGTAAGTTGAACTGTCAAATATGGGCCCAATGCGGCATAGGCTGATTTCAATGCGCCACAGCAAAAGCAACTTTGACTGGTTTAAATGGTGTGAAATAGGTAAACAAACATTTTCTAACACATTTGTCTCCGTACACAGACACTTTTCACTAAATCTGCCAACGTACAATTGGTAAGCATCTTCTAAATTACAATAATTGAAAATATTGTTTAGATTCATGCAGAAACATGGTTATAAAATAAAAAATTGGAAAGTAATGTAATGCAAATCATATGTCAGCTGGGCCACTGTGTTCGCTCGATTCGCTCTGCTTGCTTCTGCCCTCTACTGGCGACTTGCACTATGTACCGATTGTGTACCGCATTGAAAGCAGCCTATGCCGCATTGGACTCATATTTGACAGTTCAACTTACCTTTTTTTCTTAAAGTTTCATTTTTACACTCACTATTATTATTTTCTCATTCCTTTAACTCGCATATTTCTCCACTGACACTAATTATTTCCTCCTGTCACGTATTTTCGTTTTTTTAAAGCTTAAAACTGGCACCGCATTGGGACCCCTTGATTTCCGTATTCACCATGACACCCAATGCGGTATTTCGCGAATACCGCATTGGCAGGTTGGCACTTGCAATACGGAATCCCGTACCTCCCAATACTTTTTTTTTTACAGGGGAGTTATACAGAATTGCAGTTTTTGCAAATGAAGTAGCTCGTCCTCAACTTTGCGCATTTTAAACACATAGTGGCCGACCTTGACAGTAAGTAACATTACCGAATTGTTGTAACCATAAAGAAATACGTTTCGGGATTCGATTTTTTACTTTGTTTTCCTTTCAACCATGAGTCCCACAAATTTTCTGCATACTTGCCTTGACGATTCAATTTGTTTTTTATCTTTTATTAATGGTTTTTCACATTATGCACAAAACTTTTTTTGAGCTTTTTTTGTATCGACGTCACAGAAAACACAATTTTCGATTTTCCGAAAATGTAATTAAACAAAAAGTTAGGTTTCACTAAGACAAGCTTCGACAAAAATGCGCGTAGGTGGCGCTAGTGAACTTGACAAAAAAACGCGAGTGGCCTACCTAGACAGTAGGCCAACCTTGACTACATTCCCCTATGTATAAAAAAAATATAATTTATATAAAATATTTATAATTTCTTATATTTTGTTTAAAAAGACTATTAAATGCAACGTAAACAATAAAAGATTTTAGTTTACATATATATCTATCATATTTTATATATATATGTTAACCGTAACTATATATTTTCAGAATAAAACTTTGCAATTTAAAAAAAATTCTCATCGAGAATTCTCGTAATTCTCGTCGAGAATTCTCGTCTCTCGTGACACCTCTCTCGTCTTGTATCGTTTTAGCGATAATTAAAAAAATACTGTCTCGTCTCGTCTCGAGTCAAAGTTCTCTCGTCTCGTCTCGCCTCTCGCCATTATCGCGGCAACACTACATAAAATTCAATTGCCATAAAGTGCATTTAACATGAACAGGGTTGTCACAATAATTTAATTTTGTTTTTCCTTGATTTCCAGACAAAATTTTCACTTTTTCCCTGACCCTAAAGAAGATTCTGATTCAATAGTTTTATTTAAAATAAATATTTAATCATTATTATTATTATTTTTCCATCTAGGAATTAAGATTTTCAAAAATTGCAAACTCAAACATTTTGAAAATTAATAACTTATAGGTAATAAAAACTTTAAATAAAAAAAAATTCAATTAAACTTTTTCAAAAAAATTAATTCTAAAGAATTGTTAATTAAAACTATGAGAAATTCAAATTTTCAAAGATTTTAATATGAAACCTTTTTAAAAATCAATTATTTCTAAAAATTCACGCTATAATTTATTATCTAAAACTTTAATTGAAATTTATTTTAATTTATTGAATTTTAATTTATTGAATAATTAAATGTTTCTTAAAATTAAATTCTTTAGACGAAATTTAAATAAAATTTTTATGAATCATTACATTTTTCGAGGAATTCAATTAAAATTCTGCGATGAGTTTTATTATTTATGAAAAAAATTTAATTCTGCACGAAAATAATTGAATTATTGCGGAGAAAAATAATTTATTGAATATTTGAAAGTTTCTTATAATTCAATTCTCATAAAGAATGTAATCAACAAATTTTTAAATAATTGAATTCATTTGACAAATTTTAATAAAATTTTTAAGAATAATTGAGGGGCTGGATGCTATAATGTGTTACGCGTGAACACACGGCCAGTCAGTTGGGTTATGGAGAGAAAATTTTGAAGTTGTTCAAAATGAATTTAAAATTATTGTTTCTTGTTTAGAATTTCAAGGCGAAACTTTTTTTCTAATAAAATTTTTTTATATAATTGTTTGTTTTTAAGTAAATTGAGAAAAGCGTGATTTTCTAACCTAAGAAATTTTAATGAATTTTTGACTTCAACTCGTGATTACTTCGTTAAATATTAATATTTTTCCACGAAATTTACACACAATATTCTTCAAACTAGTTCAAAAGTGAAACAATATTTAGTAATTTTTCAAAAAATTCTATGTCTAAGTAAATAATTATTTAAATAAATGTGCCGGAAAAATGATGCAGCTATTTTCAATTGAAAAAGTTGAGTGACGAATTTTCGTTTTCGGAAAACTTCCAGTGACAAAAATATTCATCAATATGTTAGGAAGTTTTTTTGAAAATTTTTCGTCATTTGATAGTAAATTAAAGAAAATAGAGCAATTTTAACAGCGTCGTGCTCTGCTGTAAACGTAAACATTGACTCACTGTATACATTGGTCTTGTAATGGCGGCCATTCCACACGTGCGCGGCCACGCCGTAATTTTACAGCAGAGCGCGACACTGTTAAAATTGCTCTATTTTCTTTAATTTATTATCAAATGACGAAAAATTTTCCAAAAAACTTCCTAACATATTGATGAACATTTTAGTCACTGGAAGTTTTCCGAAAACGAAAATTCGTCACTCAACTTTTCCAATTGAAAATAGGATAATCATTTTTCCGGCAAAATTATTTAAATAATTATTTACTTAGACATAGAATTTTTTGAAAAATTATTAAATATTGTTTCACTTTTGAACTAGTTTGAAGAATATTGTGTGTAAATTTCGTGGAAAAATATTAATATTTAACGAAGTAATCACGAGTTGAAGTCAAAAATTCATTAAAATTTTTTAGGTTAAAAAATCACGCTTTTCTCAATTTACTTAAAAACAAAAAATTATATAAAAAAATTTTATTAGAAAAAAAGTTTCGCCTTGACATTCTGAACAAGAAACAATAATTTTAAATTTATTTTGAACAACTTCAAAATTTTCTCTCCATGACCCAACTGACTGGCCGTGTGTTCACGCGTAACACATTATAGCATCCAGCCCCTCAATTAAATTTTTCGAGGAATTTGATTAAAATTGTATTTTAAAAAATTGAAATTCTGCAATGAGTTTTATTATTTGTAAAAAAAATTTAATTCCTAAAAAGAATTTTAGTATTTACGAAAATAATTGAATCCCTGCAAAAATGTTATTATTTCTGAAAATAATTGATATTTTGACTAGAATTTTAAAAAAAATTTTAAAACATAATTGAATTTATGCGAAGAATTTTATTGCTTTTGAAAATAATTGATTTTCTGCAATCATTTGTAACTTCTCCAAAAATTTAATTTCTTTTTTAGTGTTTTTAACGAAAATTCTTCTTTAAACCATTATTTTCAATAATTATAATTAATATTAAAAAATTTAACTAATTTCAGAAGAATTTGAATTATGAAAACTTTTAAAAGATCTAAGTTCTTTAAAATTTCTAATCCCTAACTTTTCTCTGATGAAATTCTACTTTTCCTGACATTTTCCTGAATTCCTTGACCTATGGCAACCCTGATAAAAGTAATTTAACATAAAAATTACATGACAAAAATTACTTGACATAAAAATATCGACAACGAATTTTAAAAGTAAACAAATGTCAAATAAAATTTATGTTAAATGGTTTTATGTCAATTTAGATTTGTAGAATATTTATGCGTCCAAAAAATATTTTATTGTACTTATACTAAGAAATTTGAATAAAATAACAATAATCCCGAAAGTCATTAATCTTAATTTAGTTTTTTTTAGAAAAATAAAAAATTTTAAAAAGTGATCATCAGCTTTAAATACAATTTTTAACCTAGTTGACGGAGTCAGATAAAAATAAGTATTCTGGTGGATTTTTACGAGCAAATTTTAATAAAAATACAATGAGCCAATTTGAATTCTTCATCTTTTTTTAATTTGCTTCCGAATTCAATTGTTACTATTTAAATACAATAGCTACTTTCTCCATGGGACTTAATACTTAAAAATTTTGTTTTTCAATCTTTAGACCAAATATAGGCTCTATGTGTGATAGGAACTTTGTTAAATTTAATATATATTTAAGATACAGGCACATTATTTTAGAATTTTATAAAGAGATGAAAATTTGTTAGACCCCGGCAGTCTACAAATTAAACAAAATTATATTAACAGTTGAACAATATAAGTTGAATTGATTTAAAGAATTACCTCAAATTCACGGAAGAGCGACGACTTCAAATTTTGTAATTGCGTTTGATATCTCTTCTGATACTCTTGCGTTTTCGAAATCTGAATGTCCGCAATTAAATGTTTTTCCCCACTTTCTAAACTATCACTCATTGAAATATCCTGTGAAACTTTACTTGAATTACTCCGAATAAGTTTTTCCGTTTGATTGAGTTTCTCCTTTAAAGTTTTAATTTCATTGTGCAGTTTTTCAGTCTCAATCCTGTACTCCTCGTGGACAGATAAGGGAGTAAAGAAAGAATCGGATGAAGTTTGATGGCGTCGAGATATATGAGCACGAACGAACATTGCTGATATAAATGTTTTCGTGCAATGTGGACACTAAAAAAAAATAATTGACAATTATTTTATTTATTTCTTAAATTATTTCTGTCGTTTTATTTTTTTAGCTTGAGAGAGTAAAAATCTGTTTTTTCTAAAATAAAATGTTTTATTTTTACCTTGAAAATTTCATTGTGTAAATAAGTAGTTTTTGCCTCTTCTATTTTATTATTTCTTTCCTTTAACTTGTCCTTTAAAATTCTCTCCTGCTCTTCAGCAACTGTCACATTCCGTTGTAGTACATAATTTTCCTGAATTTTTTTCCTCAATTCTTCTTTTAAGATTACAACACTTTTATCCAAGTATTGTTTACAATATAATAAATATTCTGTTGCAAGTTGAGCAAGACGGAACAATTTGATAAAATTGGGATCAAAGTTGTTAACAGCATACTCGTGATCGACAGAATAGTCAATTATATTGCTTATTGTCTCGTCCACTGTTACGAAATCTCTTTCTCTGATCACTCGATCTACATCAATAGAACCTAGAAATTTACAATTTTCATGTAAACAACATTTTTTTTATTTTTACGAAATTTTTCTATTACATTTTATTATTAAATTGAGAAATTTTGACTTTCATTAAATTGACGTCTTTTTTATGTCACTTTAACGAAAATTTAAATTTAATATAAAAAATGCATAAAATCTAATATACAAGTAGATTAATTTAATAAAATCTAATAATAATAATTATTGTTACAATTAATTAAACATTTAAACAAAATAGCCAAATTTACGTCAAATTTTTAAAAAAATTTTGATCATTAATCATAATAGTAAAAATTGACGATTTCTCTTTGGGAGATTTTTTAATTAAATTCTTAGAAAATTTAAGGGGAGCAAAAGTATAAAAATATTTAAATTTTATTTTAAAACATTACTAATTAATTACATTATTTTTCTTAAAAAATTCTACAAGTTTTCAATAATTTTATTCAAAAATTCTAAAAAAAATATTTGAACTTTGGAAGAATAATTCCAGTTGCATTAATTAATTTAATTAAATTTCAAAAGGTTTTCATTTAAATTATTAGAAATTTTCATTCCTGTGGAAAAATAAATAAGAATAAGTTTTTAAATTTTTGTTTAAAAAAAGTATTGAAGTATTGAATAATTTATAAATAAATAAATTTAGTTAAGAAATTTTTTTTTAAAATAATTATATTTCGGAAAGTAATTTAAAAAAATTGAAAATTTTGTAAAATTACATTGAAATAAATTTTATATTTTAATGAATTTTATTTGTTTACTTTTTAAAAATATTTTGAAATATACTCATATTTTTGAAGAATTCTAGTTGAAAATTTAGAAAATAATTGAATTTTAAAAATAATTTAGAATTAAACTTATTAACTGGATTGTTATGAATCGTCACATTCATATTAAAGTTAAAAAACTGGCCACATCAACTAAAACCTGGTTCAAAAATTAAAACATTTCTTTTGGGCAAAGTTTTAAAAATTTATTTTTAACCTAATATTAAAAGGAAATACGTAAATTTAGCTATATTGCCTGTAATTCTTAGTAAAATGATTTGATCTGGTATCAAATTTACTCATATAATGTTCAAGTTTCGAAACAATGCATTTAATAGAATGCTTTCCGAGTTAAAAAACTACATATTCATTTTACGAACGCTATAAGAAATTTACTTTATCAAAGTGAATAAATACTGTAAACATACCCAACTTATTCCAGTCTACTTGAATTTTACTTCTGTTTGTTGTAAAATAAAATCCAGACTCCTTAGCAAGTTTTGGAAAATCATGACACCAATGTGTTTCCATTCGAAATGAAAGTGTCATTTTAATTATTTTGATTTGACTGCACAATTTTCAAACAAGTATTCCTAGTTTATAGACGATACAAAGTATACATTTTTTCAAATAATCAATGAATTTTTCAAAAAAACAAGTAAAATAAGTGTTTCAATTTTTTACTTTTATTATAATAAATGTTGCATAAGTTAAATATGCATTTTAATAGCAATGTCACTGTAAATAATCTTATAAAAATGTTAAAAACTAAATATTCTATTTGTTGTTGTTGTCATTTTGGAAGAAAGGTTTCCGGTTACTAGTACCGTAGAGTATAATATGTAACAAGAGAGGAAACTACAGTCACACTGAAAATCGAAAGGCTGTGTCCACAATAGGTTCTTTTTATGTCCTTATGTTGAACATAAAAAAAATACAATAGAAAGAAATATTGGCCTAAGGACATAAAAGAGAAAAGGGTGGGGGATTATATTGGTCATTTTCTATCTTATGTGAACTTTACACACCACAATAGGTTTATGAAAGTTGTTCGGGTTCAAGTGTAGAACTTGCTTAAAATTTTCGATTGCTGGTTGCATTTCGTCTTGACGTTATCCGTTCGCTGTTACTCATTGTGGAAGCACCTTTATAATTTTCGAAGAGCAGCCAGAGCAGCTGAGCAGTAGGTTCAATTTTGTGTCAATAATAGACATGACACATTTTAAAAATTTTTCTATAAGAACAATAGTGTAAATAATGTTTTCTCTTAAATATCTTAGTTCATTAGGTAGTAGAAAAGTTAATTTAATTATTTATCCTAAAATTCAATGGAAACGTGTATCTTCTATTTCAAAAATACAATCACAAAAATCAAAAACTTATGAGGAAAGTCAAAATAATTTTTTAGGTTATTCTTTACTGGTAAGATACATAATAATGTATATTTCTAAACACAACTAAGGGCCAGTTTCACCAATACCGATTAAAAGTTAATCAACGATTAAATCCTCAATCAACCAATCATAAGCCGTTTTTTGCCAAAATTGTAATCATAATTTCAAAAGTAACTCTCAGTTTAAACAATAACCACCAAAAAGTTATAGAAGTGTTGTAACTTGGTTTATATACAACTGAAATTTTTTCAGATTATTCCTGCTCTTACTTTTTATCTTGGTACATGGCAAATTAAGAGACGCAAATGGAAATTAGGCTTATTAGACGAAATAAAAAATAAATTTAACTTAGAGCCAAGAGAATTGCCTACTGAGTATGAATCTTTGAAATTTTATCGTTTATGAAACGTAAAAGTATTTTGATCGAATGTAATTCGTGAATGTTATTTTCAGTTTAGGTGATTTAGAAAATTTGGACTATGTTCCAATCAAAGTGAAGGGAACATACCTTCACGATAAAGAATTAATAATTGGTCCCAGAAGCCTTATTTCCGACAATTTTGGACAAAGTGAAAGAAACAAATCTCTAATTTCGACTTCTTCTCAAAGAGGGTTCCTCGTAATAACTCCATTCAAGCTAGAAAATAGAGAGTAAGTGGAGGTCAAACATTTATTAATATTCTCACAAAGGGACATTCCTGTATTTGAATTATATTTAACCCCATCACGTCAGGGTTTTGACATAACTGAAAAAAATCAAAAATCGACACCAAATTTTTAAACTCGTTTGGGATCAGAATTTTTCTTGATTCTTCAGAGACCTCAGAAACATAAAATACTCTTGGTAGGTCTTAGAGATCATAATTTTTCTTGATTTCTAAATTTTTGGGTCAAATTGTGAGTTTTTTTATGTTATCTCAAAACCCTGACTTGATGGGGTTAAATAGACTTCAGATTGGGCTTCAGCGACCCCAAAAACATAAAGTAGTCATGGTTGGATTAAAAGCTCATAACATTAATTTTTTTGAATGGAGACCTAGCCAAATATTTGTACTTAAATTTTTCGAAAAGTAAGGTCCATTTAATAAAAAAGAAAAAAAATACTTTCTGCAAACAAATATATAAAAACATATATTTTCTATCTTCTTTATTCTGCTGTCTTTACTTGTTGACATAAAAGTCCTCTTTCATTAGATTCAATTTGAAAGTAGTAAAAATAATGAGTTTTTTATAGGCTTTTAAGTTCTATCAACTTAATAAATTAATTTAGAATATTTTAGTTTAACTATTTTGATAAACCGTGGATGGGTACCAGAACAATATAAAAGTCCTTCAAAGAGGCCATCGAGTCAGATTAAAGGCGTGCAAGAAGTTACTGGTATTTTACGATTGTCTGAAAAGAAGCCAACATTCGTACCTGAAAATAAACTTAGCGATAATATGTTGTACTATAGGTAAGTACAAATATTATTTTTTGGATTTGCTTTTACCCTTTTAATCAAAAATACTATTTTACTTCACCAAGGAAAACTAATGAAAAGTTATTATTCTAAACGCTAAACCATTCAGCAACTTGAGATTTTTTCTCTATTGAGTTTTCAAACAAACTTACTATAAACAATTATTTTTCCTATTTTTCAGAAATGTTGAAGAAATAGCTGATTTCTTAAACGCAGCTCCCGTTTATTTGGACTTAAAATTTGATAATAAAAAATCGAACAGTGTTATTATTAGTGGACAAACAAGAATATCCTTAAGAAATGAACACATGTCTTACGCAATAACCTGGTACAGTTTATCTTTAACTACTGGATACCTTTGGTACAGATTATTCTTAAAAAAATTGCCTTTACATTAAGTAAGTATTTACAAGTATGGTTAATTTTCAAATAAAGAATATAATTGCATTCATTGTCTAATTCAGTTAATTATAGTATAAAAAATAAAACTTATAGTTGTGACGAAGAAGAAAGGTACATAAGAAGCAAAAATGTTAAATGTTGCAATACTTGGAAGAAAAGTCGAAGAAGTCATAATATCCGAGGCCTGTAATTACTAGAAACTGATTTTAGTTTAATATAATTATTCAAAAACTTTTAATTGAGGTAAAAATAATACAAACATAACCTTAAAATGATTTGCTTCTTATAGGTACCTTTCTTCAGAGCAAGACACATTTATTTTTTGGAAGCAGCACAACATATTGCTACTGGTCAAGGGGGTCGCTACAGAATGTTAAACGAAACTAATCAAAAATATGCCAACATAGCGCCTGACGTTGTGAATACTTTTTTTTAAATGCGAAATATGCCATTTGAAAAAAGTGAAAAGGAAACGGTTTGAAATAGAATGCCTCATATAATAATATGTTAATATTAAAGTGATATGATACATTTAAGAGTAATTTGCTTATTTTTTTTTGTAAAATCATTTATATTTGTGTTGAATAGTTAGATTTCCATAAATAAAACATATTTAAGAATATATAAAGAGATAAAAATATTTACAAAATAGTTTAATATAAATTGAAAATTTAAAGAACTATATTACAGATTTAACATTTTCAAACAGACTTATTTTATGCTTCGGGTGATGGACTTAATATGCTGACTATGTCCTTCTTGCATAGCATTCTCTAATTCCTGTACCAAATGCATTAAATTCGTAGGATCTAATTGAATAAATACGTGTTCAACTTCTTTAGAACTTTCAGAACTTTTGAGAAAAAAATCACATGTTACTAAAGGCAATGCTTGATTTAATGACGATCGCGACGCAATCTGTAAAAAAATTTTACATTTTAAAAATTGAAGATCATTCAGTCAAGTATAAGAAATTGAATATTTGACATACCTGTGCCTCAAATCTCCATTCCATATCTTGATACTGAGGCGATTTAAAATTGATGACAGCTAGAGCTTTTGATATATCGGCTTTCTTAAGTGCATACAATTTACTTAATAAAGCTTCTTGTTCTTCTGTGAAGCCTACAGCAATAACTGAGTCTTGGAAGTCATTCACGTTTAGCTAAACACATATAATTATGAATGAAAACTAATAGTATAGTGAACGGTTAATTATTAAAACAAATATCATATTTTTCCTTCGAATTAAAACAGGACTCAAAAGTGAGAAATATTAATTGAAAAGTTAGATATTCCAAATGACAGTTTCAATATGGCGGAAGGCAAACAATTTAGAAAAATATTGATTACCTTGTATCTACAACTTTCAAGAAGAAAATGAACAAGTCCATGAACTGAATTCTTAATAATCTCTGGATCTACAGCTAATTTTTCTGAAAAAAATTGAATAACATTTTTTGATTATGGGCGCAAAAAACTTTTTTTAAAAAATTAAAATTGCAGATAAAATATAGTTCAATTTAATGAAATGGGCTGAAAAATACTCTCATGTCTCGAAAATTTCCACTAATACAATCCTTCTGCTATGAGGAAAAAAAAGTATTAAATTTATTTGTCCTCTTAACATTTTAATTAAAAAAAGTATTAATTTTAAAATCCCACAGATTTAACATTATTATTTCATTGCACGTTAAAACTTACGAGCAGCTGAATTGTAATATTTTAAGTTCAATCCATTTTGCAGATAATCCAAAGCCAATTTGCAAAAATCCTGTAAAACTAATATTTAAATATTTTAGCATAAATTAAAGTGTCAAAACCGTCAGAACTATAAATATAATAAAAAAAATTTTATTCCTTACCTTTTACATTCTGCTGAGTCAAAAATAATAAATGTCGTTTATGTTCTGCTTTTAAAATAAGTAACATTTTGAGAATCTTATTTACTGTGGTAAACAAAATTTTAATTATTCAGTACAATAAATATTTAGTTTACATTCATTTCCACGATTTCCACATACAAAAATACTTGAAAAATACTGAAATATAAACCCAACAACAATAATAACGTGAAGTTTGGTGCTTAAAAACAGGTGTGAACAACTTTTGAATGTTATTAAGCGGTGTCCACAATGGGCATGTCAGAACGATACTAGTAGTAGTAGCACGAGTCAACAACACGACTCTATTTTGATTTATGATGCCAGAATTTATAAAAGAGAGAAAAAAACCGATAAACAAAAAAACAAATCAACGTTTAAAATATGAATACAGTTGATAAATAAGTGCATACAAAAACGTTCTAGAAGTAATTGTGCTTAGACAGAAAGATTGGATGGATTTTACAAAATTTGTGTGACCGCTCCCTAAAGAATTTGCAGATGCACGAATTCGTTCCTATTGTAGAAGCACCTTTAAATACTCGATACAGCCTATCTATTCATTGTTCGCATTGTTCGTGACTTAACAGGCAGAGACGTAAAAATCGTGGGATATTTTATCAGAATATTATATTTTGAAGATTTAAAATAATATATAATTGTGTGATAAGGGTACTGAAGTGAATGCACTAACTGAAAATAAAAATGTCAAAGTTTAACTTCGGAACACCGGCTACTCCTACGCAGCCGACTAATGCTCCCATTGGAATTACTGACCAACAAAAGTTTGTATACATAATATAACCTAACTTTTAGAATTTATAAATATTATAAGCATTTATTTTTAATAACAAAACATCCGACGGACTAACAGTTCTATGTAGACTTTTAGCCAAAAATTTTAACTGTGATATATAATTACAACTTTTTCATTTTTTTTTGACATTTCACAATTATATTGTTAGTTTTAGATTATAGAGTGAAACACTTATTAATAAATAAATAACGGAAAAATCATTTTTCAAAGTTGTTAATTAAATTGATAAAAAATTTTGTATAGGAATATTTTTATACTTTTAAAAACAAATTTCTGTAGGTTTACTATTCTCTTATGGAATTTTGTAAAAAAAATATGCAAAATTACGTATTTGAAAACTACTAATTTAAATTCCTACTTAAAAAACAATTATACTTTTTCTGTATCAGTTTCACAATTTTTTGTAAATTTACTAAGTACTTTCAAGGTGGGTAATAATTGAGTCTTTTTATTACCAACTTTGAAAATTGTAAAATTACAAAAAGTTGTGAAACTGACACGCATTAAAAGTATTCATTTTACAAGAGGGAATTCAATTTCGCTGTTTTTACATATATTATTTTTTCTATAAAATTCCATAACAAAACTGTAAATTTAGAGGACTATTTTTTAATTGTGCAAAAAGTATATTAGAGGCAAGAGACTACGTGGAACCATGTCAAACGTCTTTCTAAAATCAGAGAATTTTTGAAAGGAAAGTAAATCTTAATCGATTTTTATCTTCTTTTTTTAAAACACTCGTTATTAAAACCAGTAAAGCCAGGGAAAAATCATGAAAAAATTTTTTATCATGGAAATTAAGAAAATTGAGACTTTTTTCGACTTATTTTCAAAACATTGCAACAAAATACAATAATTTTCAGTAAAAAGTGCAACTTATTTTGATTTTTATAATGCGAGAAATAACTATAAACAAATCTTTCAAAAATTGTTTGTGAATCATTTTTTTAAATAATTAAATTTTTCAAATATATCTATAATATTTTTGAATAGTTAAAATTTTGTAAAATTTAATTGGAAATAATTATCTTATTTCAAGTATTTTGTTACAATTTTCGAAAATCAACTTTTGAAGAATTTTAATTGCAAATTTTGTAAATAATTGAATTATCAAAAACTTTAATGAAAAATCTTTAAAGGTAAATTCTGCAAAAGAATTCAATTCTCTTGATAATTAATTATTAATTTGAAAATTAATAAAATACTTTGCAGAAATTAAATTATTTTCAAAATTTTTTAAAAATTCCCGAAATTATCTTTATAAATAGATATGAAAATTCTTCTCAAGAATTAAATTATTGTCAAAATTTTTTTAAAAATTCTTCTCAAGAAGTCAATTATTTTCAAAAATTTTAATAAAATTCTTCTCATGAATTCAATTGTTTTCAAAAATTATTACATATTTAAATTCTTCTCAGGAATTCAATTATTTTTAAAAAATTTAATAAAATTCTTCAAAAAGTTTTCAATTATTTTCAAAAATTGTTATAAAATTCTTTAATATAATAAATTTTATTAAAATTTGAATTAAATTCCTTAAAAGAAATTAAATATTTTTAAAAGTTGTTAATACAATTCTTCGTAAAAATTAAATTTTAAGAAACATTTAATATTATTTATTTTTGTATTTAAATAATTGATTTCTCGTAGAATTAAATTATTGTTTTTCGTACTTTTAACTAACAATTCTGTAGAATTAATTTTTTTGAAAAAGTTTAATTGAATAATAATTAATGTTATTGATTTAAAGTAGAATTTTAGTTAAAAATTCTAGAAAATGTTAATTGAATTGAAACAAATAATTTTGAAGAAATTACAGTAACAATATTCTTGTAATAATAAAATAACGATTTTGTCAGTCTGTCATCTTTAATTATTATAAAAAATAAAGAAATGGATCACTCCGAGTCGAAGACTCGGAGTAATCCATTTCTTTATGTTTTATAATAATATTCTTATGAGTTGTTGTAGGTCACTTCTAGCTCCTTGTCTCGAAGTGATTGTTATCTTCGTGATGTGTTACTAATTGGATTGCATTTATTGCTTTGTTAAGACCAACAGCAACATCTGTTTTGCCTGTACCTTTTGGTTCTTCAACCCCTTCGACTACTACGACCCCTGCTGCTTCTACATTTGGTCCGGCACAGAATTGGACCGACAATAATCCAACGACGACTGGTTTGAACTTTTCCTTTGGAAATACTCAGCCACCTACTCAACCACCTCTTACACAAACTGCAATCACCAATCCAGTAACAGGTACCACTACTTTAAATTTGCTCCAAAATCCTACAACCACTCCACAGCCTGCTGGACTAACATTCGGAACGTCCACCGCATCAAGTAACTTGACATTCGGAACTCCTGCAACTACCACCAGTTTGACCTTTGGCACAACTTCTGCGCCAGGAATTGCACCAACTTTCGGTACAACTTCTGCACCGGGAATCGCACCAACTTTCGGGACAACTTCTGCACCGGGAATCGCACCAACTTTCGGGACAACTTCTGCACCGGGAATTGCACCAACTTTTGGGACAACTTCTGCGCCGGGAATTGCACCAACTTTCGGGACAACTTCTGCGCCGGGAATTGCACCAACTTTCGGGACAACTTCTGCGCCGGGAATTGCACCAACTTTCGGAACAACTTCTGCGCCGGGAATTGCACCAACTTTCGGAGTTCCTTCGACTACAGCACCATTATCGTTTGGAACGTCAAGTGCAAATACATGTACGGAAATAAATTTTTTATTTTTCATCAAATAGCATTTACAAAGATATCTAAGCTTTTCAACCAAATTAAATTCATCGCATTTGATTTCGAAATGATTAGTTAATAAAACTTTGCCGGTCAAAAATATTTCTACCTATTTTAAATACGTCAATAATCTTAAAAAGTAATATTATTTTTATTGTCAGCTTCACTATTCGGTTCAAATTTTGGAAGTAACTTAAACGCTCCAAAGTCAACTGCTGCAACAACTACTGCAGTGACTAGCACGAATAAGGGTTTAGGTGGGTTAGATGTCTCTATAAATAATAAAGGACTTTCACTAGGAAGCAGTAGTCCAACAGCAGTTAAAGAAAATCTTTTACCAAAGGAATTAATGCAAACTATTGATGGCTTCAAGTGAGTTAAATACTTTGCTAGTAATTATAAATTTCATGCATATATATTTTATTCGAAAATAGACAATACATCGAAAATGGTAAAGGGTCTTTCATATATCACGTGGACAATTTTTTATGACTTTGACCCCCCCACCCCCGTGGACTTTGAAAAAATACCTAAAATAATACATTTTCTCCCCTTTTCCTCTTATTTTTTAAGAAAAATTTGTAAAAATTGTCATTTTTTCTAAGATAGCAACTAGGCCAGGGTGGCCACAGGTCAAGAAATTCAGGGAAAAGTCAGGGATTTTTATTAAAGTGCTGGAAAAAAATTTAATTTGTAGGATTCATAATTAATTTCATTTAATTTTGTAATATATGTGTCACGCTTCGAAGAAAGGTACCGAAGAAGCAAAAAATTCCAGATTATGTTTTTAATTTTTTGATTAAAAATACAAAAAGAGAATCAATTATTAATTAAAAATTATTATTGATCGTCAAGTCTTCATTATATCGAAAATAGTCAATAAAAATTTGTTTCAAATTTAAATAATTAAAAATAAACTTTTAATCAAGATAAATCTAAGACAAACCGAGCCTATAATTGGTTTGCTTTTTAGGTACCATTCTTGGAAGAGCGTCACATATATTTAATTAATTATTAAAAATCATGGATTTGTAGAAGAATTTTAGTTGAAAACCCTAAAAAAATTGAATTTTTGAGAAGTTGCAAATGATTGCAGAAATTCAATTATGTTCAAAAATTTAAAAACATTTTCGTCAAAATTTCAATTATCTTAAAAAATAATAAAATTCTTCTCGAAAATTCAATTATTTTTACAAATAAAATTTTTTACAGAGATTCAATTTTCATGAATAATAAAATTCATTGCAGAATTTTAATTATTTTTAATATAATTTTAACCGAATTCCTTAAAAAAATGTATTTATTCTTAAAAATTTTATTAAATTCAATGAAAAAGTTTAATTATTTAAAAAAAATTTGATAAAATTCTTTATGAGAATTCAATTTTAAGAAACATTCAATTATTCGATAAATTATTTATTTTTATATTTAAATAATAGAATTCTCGTAAAATTTACTAATAAAAATTGTTTAAAATTTTTTTTTGTAAATAATGGACTTCTTCCAAAGAATTTTAAAAATACATTTTTTTTAAATAATTGATTTCTTTGAGGAATTGAAATTAAATTTTAAAAAATAACTACATTTTTTTAGCAATTCCTGTAAAATTGTATTAAAAATAACTGAGATTCTGCAGTAAATTTTATTACTTATGAAAATAATTGAATCCTATAAGAAGAATTTTATTATTTATGAAAATAATTGAATTATTGCGAAAAATGTTATTAAAATGTTTAAAAAGAATTGAACTTCTGTGAAAAATTTTGTTATTTTTGATAATAATTTAAGTCTTCATTTAAGGATTTTATAAACATTTTTTTAAATACATAATTAATTTTTTCGTAATATAATAAATATTATGAAAATTTTATTTTAAATAATTGAATTCTTGTGGAAAACTTTATATGTGGAAATAATTGAAATTCTTTGCTGAGTTTTATTAAATATTAAACTTTTATTAAATTCGTTGAAAAAGTTCAATTATTTAAAAATTTGTTGATAAAATTCTTTATGAGAATTCAATTTGAAAAGAGATTTATTTATTCAATAATTTTTGTATTTAAGTAATTGAATTCTCGTAAAATTTGCTAACAAAAATTGTTTTAAAAATGAATTTCAGTGAAAACTTTAAAAAATAATTGAATATTGAAAGCATCAAAAGCGTGAATTTTTAAAAATAATTGCACTTTGAAAAAGTTTAATTGAATTTTTTTAAAAATTATTTCAACAAGTTTTTTTTTAAATTATAAACAAATGGATTTGAAAATTCTCTATGAACTTTTGCAAAAATTATTAGAAATAATTGATAATTGTTCGTTTATTTCTTTCGAAAAATTTTAATAAAATTTTTGAAATTAATTACTTTTTTCGAAGAATTTACTTAAAATTGTATTAAAAATAATTTCAATCCTAGGAAAATTTTTATTTTTTATGATAATAATTGAATTCCTGCAACGAATTTTATTATTATTTTTTTAAATAATTGAATTGATGTAAAAAATTGTATTACCTACTTATGAAAATAATTGAATTCTTGCGAAGAATTTTATTAATATTTTTGTAAATAATAAAATTTTTTTCTGAAAAATCTTATGGAAATTTAAATTATCTTCATGTTTTATAATAATATTCTTAAAAGTTATTGAATTTCAAAAAGTTTAAATTTGAATTTTTTTTAAATCTTAATTTCTACGAAAAAATAATAATGATTAAATATTTATTTAAAAAGAAAGTTATTGACGTTTTTGAATAATTTTACAATTAAAGAAAGTCGTAAATAAATGTAATAGAACATTTTTTTGAGTATCTTATAATTTTTAAAGTGAATCAGAATATTCTTTAGAGTTAGGGAAAAAGTCAAAATTTAGGCTGGAAATCAGGGAAAAAGAAAATTAATTTTTTGTGTCAAACCCTGATCGTGAATTTTTTACGAACCCTCTCAAAACTGTCCATGTGGTATATGAACGACCCCTAAATCACTAAGAATTGATGATTTTCTTCATTTTCTTTGATAATGAAAAATGTCATCCGTAGGGAATTTGTAAAAACACAAAAAGTGCTAAGTTCCGACATCGCGCGAGGTTCATCGAGACCATTGAATCGATGTGCCGAAGACACAGTGTCACTTGTAGATTTACTTACAACGTTGGCTGGCTCTGTGCAAAGGGATCGTTCTTCAGCAGACAAATTGAAGCAAGACACTGCTAAGGCATTACAAAATGCAGAGATTTCACAACGAACACATGACACACCTCCTGGATTACAATATGAAAATAATGCTCCTTATTTGTTCTTTATTGAATTAGCGGGAAACTTTGAACAACATTTACTTCTCTTCAAATCTCAAATTGAAATAACGGAAAAACATATAAGAACAATGATGTCGCCTAAAACTTTAACTCCTCAAGGTGAGTAAATTTGAAGTACCTACTATTTTTCAAGTATCTAAGAAGAAGTCAACAGACTGTTGAGGCTATTGAAGGGAATTACAATTTCTGGAAAATGCAATTGTTTTGTTATAGAACTGACTATGGCGATGGGCAAATTACATGAGTCATTAGTTGCTGTAGCTGGAAGACTACAAGGTGTGCATACAAAAGTTCAGCAACAGAAAGAGCAGTATTTAAATTTTAGGAAATACGTTTTGAAGGATAGCTCAAACGTGTTTGAAGATATTAAACTAGTCAGCAAAGTTAACAAGAGTAACTTTATGAAAATGACAAGTGGACCAACGCCGTTTGCTCCAGGTAAATCGAATTTTGTAAAAGTTTTCAGCCTAATATGTGTTAAATAAATATAATTTTCTTCCTTTCAGGATATAAGAGTTTTCTATCATCGTCAGGATTAAATTTATGCCAGTCTTCAAATTGTGGCACAATAAATCCTCTAGGTAAATAACAATTTCATGTTTAGAACTATAAAAGTATTTTATTTTACTTTGTTAAAATTAAAAAGTTTATTTACGTTGTCAAACATTTCATATAAGGGTATTAATGCACAACTGAAGATAGTGCAACTGCACGCACGGCTATCTATTAAAAGTGAAAGCGACATTCACATGGAAGTTTTCGTTAAATAATTTCTTTTTCTTCTTAGTGAATTTTTGTAAAATAGAATATGAATATTATAAACTTAGGTAAATATAAAGGTAGAGACTTGGCTTGTAAAGTTTATACGTTCTCCTGTCTCTAGTCTTCTTGATTTTGACCCACATTTCCTAATGTAATTTCATTTTATATCCCGTTTGTAAATATTAACTTTTGAGTAAATTTCAAATTTTTATTTATCTAAATTAAAAATTATATTATATTATCATTTCTAGGAGGGTCCGAAAAAAATATTTTTAAAATAGACAGGCTTCGCACTCATCTACTAAAATCTACTATTTATTACTTTTTTTACGTTATGCTACTATTTGGCTACTTTTTTTTAGATTTCACCGACTAAAAGCTACTATTTCTGCTTCTCTTTTTTTTTGAGAATTTCCACTTACTTAAAATAATAAAACTATTCTCAAAAATTATAATCAAATTCTTTAAAACGATTCAATTATTTTCAATATAAAGTATTTACATTAAATTTCGCAAAACAATTCAATTATTTAAAAACAAATTGATAAAATTCATCAAAAATTCAATTATTTTCATAAATAATAAAATTTTCACAAGAATTCAATAAATTTAAAATAGCATTTTCAAAAAAATTTCGAAAAAATTAATTATTTAAAACAATGTTTATAAAATTCTTATAAAGAATTCAATTATTTTCAAAAATAACAAAATTTTTCACTGAAATTCAATTTTTTTAAAACATTTTTTAATAAAATGTTTCGCAATAATTCAATTATTTTCATAAATAATAAAATTCTTCTCAGGAAAGCAATTACTTTGAGAATTTTAATAAAATTCTTAGCAACTATTAATTTATTTTCGTAAATAATAAAATTCATCGCAGGATTTCAATTATTTTTAAAACAATTTTACAGGAGTTGCTCAAAAAATGTAATTATTCTTAAAAATTTAATTCCAATTCCTCGAAGAAATCAATTATTTAAAAAAATGTTTTTTTTAATTCTTTGGAATAATTGAATTATTTACAAAAATATTTTCAATTTTTCACAGGAATTCAGTCATTTTCAAATATTTTAATAAAATTTTTTCGCAAGAAATCAATTATTTCAAATAGAATTATAATTAATTTTTTTGCAATACATAATTCAATTATTCTTAAAGATTTTAATAAAATTTTTCCGAAGAATTAAATTATTTACATAAATAATTCTTCGAAAGAATTCAATTATGTCGATAAATAACTAAATTATTCCCGAAAATTCAATTATTTTAGTGATTTCAATAAAATTCTTTGCAAAATTCAATTATTTTCATAAATAATAAAATTCATTGCAGGATTTCAATTATTTTTAATAAAATTTTACAGGAATTGCTCAAAAAATGTAATTATTCTTAAAAATTTAATTTCAATTCTTCGAAAAAATCAATATTTTAAAAAAATGTATTCTTAAAATTCTTATGAAGAATTCAATTATTTTCAAAAATAACAAAATTTTTCACTGAAATTCAATTCTTTTTAAACATTTTAATAAAATTTTTTCGCAAGAATTCAATTATTTTCATAAATAACAAAATTATTCCCGAAAATTCAATTCTTTTGAGGCATTTCAATAAAATTCTTTGCAAAATTCAATTATCTTAATATATAACAATATTCATTACAAAACTTCAATTATTCTTAAAAGTAATAAATTTCTTGTTGGAAATTTAATTATTTTGAAAATTCTAATAAAATCGTTTGCAAGAATTCAATTATTTTCATAAATGATAAAATACTTTTTAGGAATTCAATTATTTTCAAAAAAACTCTATTAAAATACCACACAAACACTCAATTATTGTGAAAAATTTTAATAGAATTCTTTGGAAATTTAATTATTTTTAAAAACTTTTCACAATTCAATGATTTTCAATATCTAATATTTTCATAAAATTTCCAAACAGAATTCAATTATTTAAAAAAATTTTTGTAAAAATCTTCGTATGAATTCAATTCTTTTCATGAATAATAAAAATTTCTCAGGAATTCAATTATTTAAATTAGAATTTGCATAAAAATAAGTCGAAAGAAATGAATTATTTAAAAAGTTTTATAAAATTCTTCGCAAGATTTAAATTATTTTTATAAATATTCAAATTCTTTCATGAATAATAAAATTCGTTAAAGCAATTCAATTTATTAGCAGGGTAAGAAAGAAGTAAATATTTTTGATGAAAATTAGGAAAAATCCAGGGAAATGAAAAATATAGAATGGAATTTTTGTCAGTTTTGTAAAAGTGTCTAAAACGAGTTCTTTTGGTCGTCAAGTTTAGTTTTTTGATAGCTACTTTTTTACTACTTTTTTTTAGTTTGAAAGCTACTTTTTGTTACTTTATTAAAATTAATTATCGAGTGCGAAGTCTGAATGGACTTTAATTTATCAGTTAAAAATTCAAAATGGTGAACGTAAGAATAAAAATTTAGTGCGATAAATTTGGTAAAGATCTTATTTGAAAGAGCATGGTTCATCCATTAATTTCTGATATTAGTAAAGTTTGTAGTGCGTCAACAATATCAATTTTTTTTACATTAACAATTTTTTAAACACATTTTTTTTGTATAAAATGAAGAAATTTATAACAAACTATGTTCGAAACTGGTCGGAGTAGGAATTCCTTACATCTTAAAATCTTTTAGATATTTGTACATTTTTGTTTTTAAAAGAAAGAGCCTATAAATGAAAGTTTTTATTTTATTCGTAAGGTTTATTTATCAGATAATAACAATGATTGAAACTTTCAGTTTGGGGTAACATAACACCAACACCTACAATATCTAACTTTTCAATGGGAACAAGTATGAATCCACCGACAAGCAGTTTAACCTTTAACGCACCAGTTAACCTCACAGCTCCGTTATCATCCAGCACAGATTGTAATTCTAGTTTTCAACTTCAAAAACCTCCTCTGGGTAACAAAAGAGGAAAATTTTAATTCATTTCTAGATATTTTGTACTAATTATAATAAATTAATAAAATCAATCATTTTTGCTTCTCCTCAGTTTTTGTATAAAAAAAAGCTTACTTTTTACATAATTGTGATTAAGTGATTGCACATGTATTGAGTTCACAGCAGGAACCAAAAGCGAGTGACTAATCACATGAATGAATGTAATCAGATTTTATAAGTCAATTAAAATATTTAGAATATGTTTTCTAACATACATATGTTATTTACTCATCCTACTCTAATTGCATTGACTAACACTAGCACCTACTTAATAGTGAAATAATTAACCCTTTCGTGCCCCCGAGAAACCCAGCGATTCGATTTTGTTGAAACAAATGTTACTCAGGGGTTTTCGGGGTCGCTGATTACGAATCTAAAGTCAGGTTTTCAAAATTTTCAAAATTCAAAATGGCGGATCCAATATGGCGGACATTTTTTTAAAAATTGTTCAAATTTACGTAAAACTTTTTACTCGGGGGTTTTCTGGGTCGCTGATTACGAATCTGAAGTCAGATTTAAAAAATTCAAAATGGTGACCCCGAAAATCCCCGAATAACAACATATATGTTTCGGAAGCACGAAAGGGATAAACCTGAAACAAAAAAATTTAGTTAATTTCCTAGAAACATTAAAAAAAAATTTCTTGACTTTTCCTTGTTTTATTAAACTTAACATAATTTCTAAAATAATTTACAAGTCTTAATGTTCTTAAACTTTTTTTAAAGGTAATTTTACGTATTAGTTTTTAACACAATTGCTGTAAAATTGCTGCACTAATAGCGGATTTAAAAGAATTTAATTTGACCTACTTGTGCAATAAATGATAGACATCACTTTACGATGTAGAATCCGGTAAGAATTGTTTTTTTTATCTTGTAACATAGGTATGTGATAACTATGTTCATTCCGCTAAATTATAATGTTCTACGAACAGAAGAATCCGGTTAAAACCAGGTAAAAGTGCATGTAAGTTTCAACTAGTTCTTATCAGGTTCATTCCTGGTTTCTATCTGGCTTTTCGAGAATTATAATTTCACATAAACTGTTCAACATTTCACAAGAATCATTCATTACATGCATAGAACTATCTATTACAAACATACAGATGTACGTTTGTCCAGCATTACTAAACGTATAGATATTACTGCGCTTTTAAAATGCAATCAATCATATTCACATTATCTGTGAACAACGTGTTTAGAGAACATTGTCTGAATATGTATATGTAATGTATGTTTCACTTGTTTACCACAAAACATCCGCACCATGCATTGTTATAAAGTAAACTAATTATAAATACACATTAAACCGTCATTCAACACTCATTAATGTGTTAATAAATTATGACAGTGAGAAATCGGATTCTCACTCACTCGTTCTTTTCAAATTCGCTATTAATGCCTTGTGTTGGCTTTTGGCTAATAAGGCTCCGGATCTTAAAAGGGCACTTTCAGCATTGATTTTAAATCAAATGGAAAAAGTGCCCTTCTAAGATCCGGAGCTACATATGTGGATTCTGTTGGGATTCTTAAAATGTTCGATATAAAACATAAAAACCAGGAAGAATTTGAGATTATTAAACTTTGGCTTTGGCTGGTACGTTACGTCAAAATTAAGATCGTCAAATTTAACGTATTTCCCAACCTACAGGTCGAAAAATTGGTAAAATTTTACCTAAATTTTGACGTAAGAGAACTACCACTTAAAAATAATTAAAGGGCTTTTTCGACGTGTAGGTTAAAAAATATTATTATACTTTACCGAAAGTCGTTGCGGACTATTTTTAGAAAAATCTCATAATTTGTAAAAATTATGTTTATAATATCTGTAGAATTCATTTTTGACAATTATTAACAAAAATTTTCTGAATTTAAGTTAGAATTTTAATTTTTAAGTTGAGGTGCACAGAGGAAAGGTTAGTTTGCCAGATATGAAAATTTAATTAAAAAAAAAACATGTAATAAAAGATAAAAATTGATTTTAAAACTGAAAATAGCTCTTTCATCTCCATCATAAAAATTTGAAAAGATGTACCGTAAGTGAGGCTAAATTCGCTCAATTTTTCAATTCTTTTTTAAATAACTTCGGGAAACGATGAAAATAAACATTGACACTGAAAATATATAATCTTTAATCCTTTATCTTTTCTATTACTGCATAAAGAAATTAAAATATGTTGCAGAAAATTATTTATAAGCCGTTTTTTGTGAGCGACTTTACCTTTAAATGATGGGTAAATTCGCTCACCATTATTATTCTGGCAAAATATATTATAATCTGCAAAAATGAAACTAAATATTCTTTAGAATCAATAAAGAAAAAAATTAAGAACTATACAAAGTTATTGGAATAAATATTTAATATTGTTTTATCAATAAGTAATTAGATTCAATCATTCAATCAAACGTACTCATATAACCATAAAAAACAAGGTTAAGTTTGACAGTTTAGTGCTTAAACCGTTTTAAATCGTTTAATTTTCAGTTATAAGAGTACTATTATTTAAAAAAATCGAATTATAAATTAAAGTAATTAACATACTTAAAATATCCAGGCCCAAACATATTTTTTGTAGACTTATTTCCTGAGCGAATTTACACAACAAATTTAAATTTTTTTTTTAAATTGATTTTTTGCAGAATCTGTTTATTGCTTAAATTTTTGTGCTTTATGAAAATCATGTTGGAGATACAGGAAATGTAATGTTCAGAAGTATTCAACTTAAAAATTTTGAAGTAAAGCTTTATTCCCTACTTTTTCATACTACTTGTTCAATATGAAAATTATTCACTTGTGTTTTAAATATAATTTCTACTGAAAGTTACCAATGAATTTGCTGCAAATAAATTTTAAATTAAAGTTTAGCATTTATATTAACCAAAACAATTGTAAATCTTAAATATTTCTGTCTAAAGAGTATGTTAATCGAATTTTAAAAAATAGACATCGGTTGAGCGAATTTACCCTACATGAGCGAATTTAGCCTCACTTACGGTAAAAGAAGGTCAAAATTGAATTTTTTCGTTTTGCACCTAAGGAGATATAATTGATTAAAATCACCGAAAAGCATGAAACACTCAATATTAAAGGTAAATTTTTTTAACATTTCTATTTTACAGAACTGAAAAGTCAGCACATAATATTAAAGTATATATGTACATTGAAATATATTACATAATATAAAGCAGTACATAATATATTTTTTAATATTTATAAAATTTTTAGAAAAATGTAATTAAAATTTGGTGACTTTTGACATTTCATAGGTAGGTTTTAAAATAAATTTTTTTCTATTATTTTGGGTATGTTTACAGAATAATATATTTATACAAGTAAATTAGCTCATTTTGTACAATATAACATCAATCAACAAATTTGTATTATCTAAATTATTTACATGCTTTTTTATTAAGTTTTCTCTCTAAATTTGAATTAGTAACTGACTTTTTGCTTTTGAATTAGTAAAATTTACTAATAAATTAGTAAAAATGACTATTAATTAGTAAAATTTACTAATTCAAAAGCACTAAATCAAATTAGAAAACATTTTTTACTAAAGCAAATTTAGGGAGTAAATAGCTGTAAAACTAACCTTTTCTCTGTGCAACTCAACTTAAAATCAAGATTCTAAGTTAAGTTCAAAAAATTTTTGAAAATAATTTTCAAAAATGAGTTAAACATATATTACACATTTTTACAAACTTATGAGATTTTTCTAGAAATAGGTCGCAACGACTTAATTAATAAAAGTCAATGAATAATTTAGTCTTAAAGTGAAATAGGGTAACTGCACCAATTGCCGAGGGTGCACCAATTGTCGAGGATCATAATTTTCTTTTTTAGATAAATAGTATAATATATAATATTTAAGAACAAAAAAATTTCTAAATAAACTTTGTATTTTCAACTGTATATTTATATATTCAAATTTCGTAGCGATTCTACTAAAATAATTATTTAATTAATATTATAATTTACTGCTGTGAAATTTACTCCAATCTCCATTTTCTTAATACTTCAAGTTGATTGAAACAGATTTTTAGAAATGCAAATTATAATTTTGTACAAGAACTAAATTAATTTTGTTTACATGTTTTTTTGTTAAAAGAAAATATTTAATATTTTTTAAAAGCAAATCATCAGTATTTGGTTCCTTTTTTTTGACAGTTCCATTTTTCGAGGTACATAATGACTCGAAAATTGGTGTAGTCACTTTTTTCGCTGATGCACCATTTATCGATGGTTAAGTGTTTATTTACTAAACGTCAAGCATAAATACCAAACATTTATAGGTACAGAGAAAAAGAAAACAAAATGCTCCAAAAATTTACAACCAACAGAAAATAATCAACCAAAAAAACGAGAAAGACCGAAAAAAATTAATAAAAAAAATGCATTATTTAAAATTAAAAAATTTTGTACTGCAGTTTAATTATAATTATTAACCATTATATTTACAGTTCGTAGGTAATAAAAGTTTATTTTATTCGTTTACAAATTTAATGTGACTTAAATTAATTTATTTTTTCAATTAATGTCTGATTAACAAAATTGATTAAATTTAATTAACTTATTTATAAAAGTTTAAAAAACAGTTAAATAATTTTCTGTCCTGCATCATCTACTATAAAAATGTTTTATATCGATATTATAAATTATTCAATTATAGTTAAATAAATAATTTGTTTTCTGGTAATGTTCTATAATATTTTTATCGAAAAAATAAATATCTACTCGATTTTCTAATATCTGTACAGGTTAATTGTTAGGTTATATTGGGTTATATGTTTAAAAATGTCATACCCTCGACAATTGGAACAGACCCTCGAGAAATTAGCACAAGACCATCGACAAATGGTGCTTTTGCTCGATTGACTTTTAAATATATTTTTTGCTTAACAATTTAGTTTATATTAAAAAAATAAATATGAATATTAAACATTATTAGATCCTTCGTCCAAATATACAAAAATCAAATTTTAAAGTGCATTTACTTCCGAGAAAAAGAATGTCAAAGTCACATGTTGCCTAAAACCCTCGACAATTGGTACAGTTACCCTATATAAAATTATTAAAGAATAAAATAATACGAAAAAAATTGATGAAAATAATTATGATATTTGGTTGTGGAATTTAAAAAATAATGCCGTGAAATTATGGGAAAAACTGCAGCAACCCTGCCCGCTAGCAAAGTAAGCCAATAATGCATT